AATACATCAAGATCCTCCGTGAGCTGTATTGCGGATTCACTACCAGGATCTCACCATTCTACAAAGAAGTGATCGTTGATGTCAGGAGAGGGGTTCGGCAGGGTGATACCATTTCACCGAAACTCCTCAGTGCCACCCTCGAGAACATCATGCGACGACTGGAATGGGAAGGAATGGGAGTGAAGATAGATGGTCGGCAATTACACCACCTCCACTTTGCTGATGACATTGTTTTAATAACACCAAACATCAGCCAAGCGGCACAAATGCTGGCCGACTTTGACCGTGAGTGTGGAAAGGTAGGACTACAGCTGAATCTTACGAAGACAATGTTTATGAGAAACAGCCTCGTTCCTGATGCCCCATTCGCTCTCAATGGAACGACCATCTCCGAATGCCTATGTGTACCTAGGTCGAGAAGTCAACATGACAAATGACCTGGCACCCGAGCTGCGCAGGAGGAAAAGAGCGGCTTGGAACGCCTTCAAGAACGTCGAAGAAATAGCTAAGAGGACGAAGAACCTCTGGCTCCAGGCACATCTCTTTGATTCCACTGTTCTTCCTGCATTAACATATGCCTCAGAGACCTGGGCCCTATGCAAACAGGATGAGAATGCTATTCAGGTCTCCCAAAGAAGAATAGAAAGAGCTATGCTTGGAATATCACGTTTCACTCAAATGAGAGAAAAAAATCCAGAGTTCCGACATCAGTCGACGATCAAGAATCAGGGACGCTGTCTCATTTGCCAAGGTGTCAAAAATCAGATGGGCTGGTCACGTAATGAGATTTAAAGACGACCGCTGGACTAGAGCTGTTACTGACTGGATTCTACGGGATGTCAAAAGACCACGTGGCCGCCCACCTACCATATGGTCAGACTTCTTCGTGAAGATCATGAACGATCGGTTTGAGGCTCTTCATGATCCCAGAGCGAACAGATGCCATTGGGCTACACTAGCACGCGACAGGGACAAATGGAGACATTACTGGTGCCCTCTCGAGCAAATCAACGACTAACGGGAAGTTAAGTGATTAAGATTAAGTTTCTAGAGATGATAGATTTCTTAGAAAGAATGAAAACCAGGTTGTCAATAGAACTTTCTTAAGCATCACTTAAGAAAAATAATGAAGCGCTATTTTTTGTTTCTTTTTGGGTCACAGTCATTCTCCAGGGTTACTCCTGCCTCTGCACTCAGGAATCACTCCTGGTGATGCTCGGGACCAGATGGGATGCCGGGGATTGAACCTGGGTCAGCTGTACTATTGCTCTGGCCCAATAATGGAGCACTATTGTCAAAATAGTGAAGGGAAGTGATAGAGATATCTATGCCCTGATAAGTCTTTGAGTGTCAAGTAAGCAAAGAGATATAGACACACAAAATAATATCCAGCCTATTTCTGAAGTTTTGAATTTGAATTACTTGGAGAATAAAGCCTGCATCCTTAATAGAAATAGAGATTTTAGGAGGAAAATCTGGCTAAGGTCAAAACACAGTTTTGAATTCTTAAGCTGAAAATAGGCAAGAATTATGCATCAGTAGTATGGCTGATCAAGCATGGCTTATTGACTTACTAGTAAGTCATTTAATAATTAGCTTGTAATTTATACTGAGCACTTTAGGAATTTTTATAATTCCTTGCCAGTAGAAAGTTGGAAATTGGTCTTATCCCTCCAGAGGTCATCTTTCATATTTAGTGAGTATCATGTGTTGGATAAACGAAGATAATTTACATCAAAATAAGCATAAGTTGAAATAAAGATTCACCATTTATTGCAATTGATCTGTATTTAATCATGTGCAGTTCTTAGATCATCTACATTAGGGTTACCTGAAGTAATTGCTAAAATTCCAGTGACTAGCTCCTGTCCAGTGTGAATTGAAATCAAAGTTCCTGACTGTCACGGGAAACTGCATTTTGAAAGTACTTAGAATGGTTTTCAGCATGTTCAAGTTTAAAGAAGTAGTTCACAGAGAGCAGGTGAAAGCAGATCAGTAAAGGACAAAGCTCAGAGGAAGTGTTCTTTAGGGGTCTGAACTTCGGGTTATTTTCATGTCATTTACACTTAGGAAACATTTGCAGAGCACATGCACAAAAGAGAAGAGCAGGGTGGAATCAGAAGTAACTGGAGCTGGGGTTTCCGCAGGTTCATGCCTCATCTGATTGCCCCAGGCTGAGGGTTTCACCGTTTCAGATGTCACTGATCTTAGCCCTGACACTCAGTTCTGTCAAGGGCACAAAGGAAGAGAGATTCTCAAAGGACTATTTAAAGGGGAGCTATCAAGCCTGGCTCTGTTGCCCACCACATGCTGAGAATTCAAGAGACAGAAGGACCTTTCTTCGGGTTTCAGGCATTCAGAGGTCAGGGAATCCTTGATGTTTAGATGTTGAGTGCAAGTGAGAAAAGGAATGTGTGTTTTAAAGTACAAGGAAGAAAAGAGCACAGAATATTTGACCATTTGAAGATTTTTAAGTGCTAAAAGAAAGGAAACAAGAGCTTAAGAAAAAAATCGGGAAAGGATGAGTCTGGACTGGAGAGAAGCCTTGCTTGGCTACATAAGGACAGAGGAGTATGCACTGCCATGATTTCATAAATTCTTTCATTTCTGTTAGCTGTTTTATAGTCTAAAAGGATTTGAGTCCCTTTCAGTGGACCTAGGATTAGAAGGGGGGGTGGAATAGAGGAGAGAGAAGAGAGAAAGAGAAGAGAGAGAAAGAGAGCTGGTGGAGTGCCAGAGACAGGCTCAGCATATGCATGGTGGCCTCTGAGAACGGCCAGGCCTGACTCTGGGTCCCCGAGCTCTCTGGTTCCCTGGTTTGCAAAGTTCTGTCAAGGGCACAAAGGAAGAGAGATTCTCAAAGGACTATTTAAAGGGGAACTATCAAGCCTGGCTCTGTGGTACAAGCTCCCTTCTCGCACCCCAAGTCCCAAGTTAATGGTGAATCCTAGCAGGAAATAATTGCTAAGACCAGGGTATCAGAGCAAAGCGAGGTGGCTTTGCAGAGGATCTGTTTTTGACATCATGCTGGCGCTGCTATCTGTACGAGCCACCAGAGCCTTGCACTGGCATGAGCATGTTAGCGTAAGATGTTAGCATATTAGCCTGCGGTGTGAACATGTTAGCCTCTGGTGTGAGTGTGTTAGTCTGTGGTGTAAACATGTTAGCCTCTGGTGTGAGTGTGTTAGCCTGTGGTGTGAACATGTTAGCCTATGGCATGAGTGTGTTAGTGTGGTGTGACCATTTTAGCCTGTGTCATGAGTATGTTAGCCTGTGGTATAAGCATGTTAGCCTATGGTGTTTGTTATCCTGTGGTGTAAGCATGTTAGCCTATGGTGTGTGTTAGCCTGTGGTGTGAGCATGTTAGCCTATGGATCATGTTAGCCTGTGGTATGAACTTGTTAGCCTATGGTATGAGTGTGTTAGTCTGTGGTATGAACATGTTAGCCTATGGCATGAGTGTGTTAGCCTGTGATGTGAGCATATTAGCGGGTGGCGTGAACGGTGTTAGCATGTGGCTGTTTCAGGCATCAGACTCTTGAAGGAAGACAGAATTGTCTGACTTGCTCATGATGACATCTGAAGATTGGAACTAAGGAGAAAGGATGGTGCTGGGGTGCATGTTGGAGGTTCCAGCGCATAGCCAAAAAGGGTGGGAGGACACAGCATCTGGGCTTGTGTTGTGGTGTGCCCTGAGTTCTGGAACAGGGAATTAACCAGCATCCCTTATTCACGAAACCACCGCCATCAGGCAGAAAAATGGTTAGTTTCTTGTTTGAGACTTCTTGGGATGGCTGGAGTAATGCCAGATCAGGGTGACTGGGTGATTAGGGCTGTGGTGTCAGTCAATGCTCAGTGTATCTTTGCGAGCATAGACCCTGGATTCAGTTCCTGACAACCAACTAAATCACGATAGTGATCTAAAACCTGCTCCATACTCCTCCCTCCCTGACCTCTGTTTCATCATGAAAAAAGTCTGCATTTTTTTACATTATGTTTTGATCTTTTAAAATATATTAAATATTTTATGTTCAATGAAATATATAATTACACATGATATATGTGATAACCTATAAAACATGACTAGAAACAGGATTACTGCTTTATGTGTTTTTAAATAAAAGACATCTTATTATTCCCATGAGAGATATTAATTAATCAGAAAATGGGAAATCACATAAATGTATTAGTTCAAGAAGGCAAAGACAGCTAACATTCATTGTATTGAGGGGTCAGATAATATGCTTAGAGATTTTCTGTTTATCTCAGTAAGAGAAGAGATATTATTCTCATGATAAGCTGTGGAAACTCAGGCTCAGAAAGAGTCTTGGATATCAATTCATTTATAATAAGTGCACGAATATATAATAAGCACAAACAAATTATATTATACATTATATAGCATATATTATGATTACATAGGGCTTATGTCAGTGGCTCTGCCTGGTGTTTTCAGATTTCCTTTTTTACTGTTTCCCTGAGTGCTGGTTTGTACCTAAGATAAATACTTTGTATTTATTGCTTTTATGCACTAGGAGATAAACATAGGTATGTTTTTATTATAGTAAGTGAATTATAGTGTATAACAATTAGAGCAGTGTTTGTGTTTGTGAATGGTGAATCTTTATAAGATAATTCTTTTATTTATAAATTGTATTCAGGTCCATAGGAGATAATTTTATTCTCCTAAACTCTTGAGTCTTGCCTAGAGTAATACTACAGTATTTAGCTATCTGCACAGCGGTAGGGCGTTTGCCTTGCACGCAGCCAACATGGCCGACTGAGTTTGATTCCTCCGCCCCTCTCGGAGAGCCCGGCAAGCTACCGAGAGTATCTCGCCCGCATGGCAGAGCCTGGCAAGCTCCCCATGACGTATTCGATACGCCAAACACAGTAACAACAAAGTCTCCAATGGAGACGTTACTGGGCCCACTCGAGCAAATCAATAATCAACGGGAGGGCCTTTACTTATTCTCACCCATGGAACATTCTTTTAACAGTGACTCATTCATGGCACACCAAGGGAGTATGAGGCAGATGATGAGAAGTTTTCCCATACCTTTTGGAAGAGACTTTCATGAAAATTTTGATGGTAGAAGAAGAGCTCGTAATCAGATGGGACGGGATGATGGAGAAAGCTACTTTAATGTAAGTTCACAGTTTAAATAAATCAGGTGGAGAAATTTGAAAAAAAAAAAAAACGGCTACAGAAGAATATATTGATGCTGAAGGACAGGGCTGAGACTTGAATTATGGGAATGAGCATTTATAACACGAGACACCTTTTGGGAAACTATTTAACACTGAGTGCTACCTATGTAGAATTCCACTGTGCTTCTAGAGATTTTTGGATCACGGGGTTATATATTATTAGCCAAACTGAATGTTGAGTATTTTCATCTGACACTTATATTGAGTGATGGTATCAGAGTACATCTAAATCTCTGCTTTTCTCAAAAGCAAAAATAAAAAAATAGAGAAATGGGATTATATGAAACTTAACATCTTCTGCACTGAAAAAAACTACCAGTGAACAAAGACATTCTATTGGAGAAAATTTTTAATCCTCTCATAGTTGGCAAGATTAAGGAAGTCACAAAACTCAATAACAAAAAGATGAACAGAACGTTATCAAAAGATGAGAGGGGTGAAAGTGATAGTACGGTGTGCAAAGTGCTTTCCTTGCACACAGCAGACCCAGGTTTGATTCCCAGCCCCATGTATGTTCCCTGGCCTACCAGGAATGATTCTTGAGCACAAAGCCAGGAATAAGCCCTGAGCACTGCCAGGTGTGTCTCCAAATACAAGACAAAATGTGGGACAGAGAGCTATACAGGCACACTGCCAAAGAAGATAAAAACTGCTTATTATCACTTGTTATCTGGGAAAATGCAAATCAAAATCATAAGATGTGATCTCACACCTGTGAGAAAGACTAGAAATGAGCTGGAAGGCACGTGGAGAGCAAGGACCCCTCATTTGCTGTGAAAGGGCCAGAGCAATAGTACAGTGGGTAGGGTGCTTGCCTTGCACATGGCAGACCTGGGTTCAATCCCTGGCACCCTATATGGTCCCCAAGCCCATCGGGGTGATCCCTGAGTACAGAACCAGGAGTAGACCCTGAGCATTGCCTGAGCATTTTTTAGGTTTGTCCCAAAAACCTAAAAAAAGTTATAAAATTAAATACACATACTAGTAATTTTTATTTTTCAGTATTATGGAGGGTAATAAATACCTATTTCTGAATTATAGTAAAACTTTATATAAACCCTTTATCCAGAAACTTGACATTAATTTTCCATATTTGAAACATATGTAATAAAAGTTTCTATTTCTATACATGTATAAAAATTTCTTTTTATTCATCTTTGCCTGTTAGGGAATACAAGTTAACTATCAATTTTGATTATTTCATCTATTCTTATTAATAGTCTTTTCCCATCAAAGACTAAATATTTTTAAGTCTATGACTCAACTTTTCTATTATTTCTATATAAGAAATAATACTTATTCAGTATGTTATTTTTAAGAGCTGCTTGCTAAATTTTTTGCACAGTACCTCTACTAATAGTTTAAAATATTATGTAGATTTCCATTTTTATAGATTTAGACAAGATTAACTGATATTTTTTTAAATATGAAAGAGTCAGGCAAAGGAAAGGTGACTTAATCTAAATCATTATACCTTCATGTTTTAATTAATTTCTGTGTGAATTTGTATTTCCTTTGAGAAATGTTTATCTTAATGCACAGCATTTTTTTTCAACTGCCTTTAATAAAGCCCAAAGTTCTCATCTTTAAAAGTGATATAGAGGTATTTACCAGTCTTGCCTCTGTTAGGTCTGCAGTGAACCCAAAGCAACTGACCTTAACAACGTGCTTGGGGCTCTTTGATTACAAAGTTCTGTGAGTCTGTCAACTCCAAACCGTGTGATTGTGCCGTTCATTTCTATAGGGGATTATCGTATAGTAGCACCTGAGTTACTGGGATTTTTATTTTCTAGGCAATGAGTTCTCTTGTGCCCTTTGGCGGTTTTGGTGGTTTGGTTTGTATCATGAGACATAAACTCTTTTAGCCATATGTTAGGACAGATATTTCACATTAACTCAAACCAAATTGGCATGCAGTTTCTCTTTCGCTAATGTTTTTCAGTGTTGGCCCTGGAACCTGTTCGTTCATTTCAGGCATGTGCTTGCTGCAGTCACTTATTAACATGTAAAACCAGTTCTCATAGGAAAGAAGGGACATTTTAATGGATGAATAGTCACTTGACTTGCAGAAGAGGATAACCCAGAGTTGTGTTTGCAAGCTGGAGACTTCGGAGCTTATGATCACTTCCCAGATGTAAAAATCTTGGGCTGTAGAGATAGCACAGGGGTGAAGATGCTTGCCTGGCCAGCAGTGACTGCTTTGATCCTGGACTTTTATTTTATTTATTTATTTATTTATTTTTGCGGGAGCCGGGGGTGAGGGGTGGTTGGGTCACATCCATTAGTGTTCAGGGCTCATTCAAGGGTCATTGCTCAGAGCTCATTTCTGTTGGTGCTAGGGATGGATGAGCGTCAACCCCGAGTTGAGGCAAGCACCATAACACCCCGTCCAATCGTTCTTAACTGTCCCAGGATATGCCCTACTGAGCTGCAGGCACAGGCAGCACAGGTGGCCTCGCAGAACCCATTGCTATAGCCTGAACCCTCCTCTGAGGAGGAGCAATGCCTATTCCAGAGGCAGCTTTCATCAGTCCTGACGAGGAGATAACACTGATATATGTTTTATGTAAGATAATACAAGTTTCATTCATTTAGTAGGTTAAGAAAAGGGGAAATGGAGGAAAAATGGAATATTCCACTCTGTCAGAGCCGTGTTACCCCAGAATGTGTCATTTAACATATAAATTTATTATTTATTTCTTTTGGGGTCACATCTAGTGATGCACAGGGGTTACTCCTGACTCTGCACTCAGGAATTACTCCTGGTGGTGCTCGGGGAACCAAATGGGATGCTGGGAATCGAACCCGGGTTGGCCACATGCAAGGCAAATGCTATACCCATTGTGCTATCACTCCAGCCCTTAATATATAAATATTGACCAAGTTCAGTTTTGAGGACATGGATGAACGATGGGTGCATGTGTAAATATTGACACATGTGTAAATATTGACACATGTGTATTGTTTATATGTACGCATTTATGTGTGCCTATGGCTGTGGCTCACAGCTCCCTAATCAGTGACCCTGTGGTTATTTGGTATTTCATATATGTCATTTTTTCTTTAACAAATCATTTTCATTGTGGAGTCTTTACATTGGCTTTGCCTGATTCTGGGATTGCATGAAAGGCCTGCATAAATTGGGGGAAGAGTCAACTGCTTGGGGAAGGCTGGTCCCTTCTCTAGTGCTGTATTGATAACACGTCCTGGTATTCTGTAGCCTGCAGATGTCAACCCTTTCCAGGCTATGGACCGGATGATGGCAGATGTGGGAAGGAGCATACAGGATCTGCAGAGGAACTTTGTAAGTACTAAAATAATGATGAAAGCACTGTTGTCAGATTCTGCTGCATTATATAGTAGTGGGGTTTGAACTTTTTAAGCCATGGTCGAGAGTAATTGAAAACATATATTTACATCATGACCACTGGAGTGAAATATTTGTTAACTTTATGAATATAATTGAGATAAAAGTTTCATGAAACAATGATTATACTATTTTTAGTGTGCTGATATTTTCTTTTTTATTTCACATTTTAAAAATCCTGCTTACAACCCACCAAACTGACTTTACGGGTTGAAAAAAATAATAGCACAGTGGGTAGGGCGTTTGCTTTGCAAGCGGCCAACATGGCCGACCCGAGTTTGATTCCTCCACCCCTCTCAGAGAGCCCAGCAAGCTACCAAGAGTATCTCGCCCTCACGACAAAGCCTGGCAAGGTATCCATGACGTATTCGATATGCCAGGCACAGTAACAGTTGTCACAATGGAGACGTTACTGGGCTCTCTGGAGCAAATCGATGAACAACGGGAGGACAGTGACAGTGACTAACTTCCAAAATTTAAAAAATTAGCCTAATCATTTTTGTTCTGCTAGAGATCATTATTACAAATACGCATTTTCTGTAAGTGTAGATATTTTCATTACTTAGGACCTTCTTTAAAAAATCCATAATTGGCAGTGGCTGCACAAATGATAGCCCATGAGCAGTGAGCACCGGCACTGCCGTCCCTTATCGGGGAGACGCAGACAGAGCCCTTCGGAGAGACGGGAAGCGGCCAGTGCTGGCAGGCATGTGTAGAAAGCGGCCACCACCCACAGCTGCTGGCAGTGCCACTGGGGCAGCCTCGGTGGAGGCAGGATGGAGGTTACTCAGGCTAATAGAGCGCCCCTGTGGCCCAGCAAATCCACTTCTTGGCACCAACCTCCAAAATATGAAATCACTAACCTGAAAAGTTACGTGCAAGCCTGTGTCCATTGCAGTGCTAAGCACAATTTCCAGACTGCAGAAGCAACCCAAATGTCCAACAGCAGAAGAATAGATAAGGAAGTTGTGTATATAGACAGTGGAATACTGTACAGTCAACGAGATAAATATGAAATCAGAAGTTCTCCACAACCGAGATCAAGTGCTTAGTGAAATACGCCAGCAGGGGGCGATGGGCACCCACGTCGCTTGTCAACTGATTCTAATAATTAGAATAACTTAGTTCTTTGAGATGACCCGCATCTCGTTTTCTGCCATCTAGTTTGGAAACTCGATTTGCTCGAGCGGGCCCAGTAACGTCTCCATTGGAGACTTTGTTGTTACTGTGTCTGGCATATCAAATACTCTCGGTAGCTTGCCGGGCTCTCCGAGAGGTGCAGAGGAATCGAAACTAAGGGTCATTTCGCATGTCTAAATCCAGGCCTGCCTACCCAAGGCCGGGGCAGCAGTCTGGAGTCTGCTGGGGTTTTTTTTTAAATTTTTTTAATGTAGGAGTGCTGCTATTTATTCAGCCACTCATTAGCCGATTGAATTGGGCATGAACTCCACCTTACTTTTTTTTTTCATTTTTTATAATTTTATTTATTGAATCACCGTGAGAGAAGTTACAAAGCTTTCGCGTTTAAGTCTCGGTCATACAATGAAACACCCGTACCTTCACCAGTGCCCATTCTCCACCACCAAAAACCCCAGTATACCCCCATCCCACACCCTCCCCCTACCTGTGGGGCAGATGATTTCCACATTACTCTCCCTCTACTTTGATTACATTCAATATTTTAACACCAGACCCACCATTATTATTTAGGATTTTACCCCAACACTCAGATCTGATGAAAAGGCAAGAGTAGACAATTTGTTTTCTATTGCTGGTTATGAATAACATATGATGTTGCATGGCTGCAGTAGTGGCCATGCAATTTTGAAATTCTGAAATTTTAACAATTAAATCTGGAAGGATTTCTGCCAAAACCTGCGGGGTTCCGAGATTTGTTCCTGTGTCTCTTGGATCATGGCCACTAAGCAGTTTGATCAACGAACCAGAAAGGCCATTAGTGGGTGGCGACTCGGGGTCTCATTGGAAAGGGGAGGAAAGGGCCGACTCCACTCCCATCCAGTGAGGCCCCGCGTGGCTCATCACTGAGGGTCCAAACCTGACTGTCCAGTGGCCTCTGGAAGATGGCAGTCACTGAGCCACCTAGGGGGAGCAGGCAGAGAGACAGCACCCTTTCCCCCCTGGAATGACCCGGCAACAGTAACCTACTGCAGGGTCCGGACGCATTTCTGACAAAAGCCGCTGGGTTCCGAGATTTGTTTCTGAGTTTCTGGGATCATGGCCGTTCATCTGCTTGGTCAGGAGCCAGAGAGGCAGTTCGTGGTTGGCAACTCGGGGTCTTGTTGGGACGGGGAGGAAAAAGCCGGCTCCACCCCCATCCCATGAGGCCCCGCATGTCTCGTCACTGTGGGCCCAAACCTGACTGTCCAGAGGCCTCTGGAGGATGGCGGTCACGAGGCCACCAGGGGGAACAGGCCAAGGCACAAAAACTATTCCCACCTGGGGTGGCCCAGCACCTGTAACTTACTGCAGGGACTGGATGCATTTCTGCCAAAAGCCACTGGGTTTCGAGATTTATTTCTGAGTCTCTGGGATCATGGCTGTTAAGCAGTTCGATCAGGAACCAGAGAGGCCATGCCTCCAATTATATAGCTGAGCTGGAGGTGGTTTGTGGGTGTGTCTCCCACATACCTAACTTTTGTCTGTTTACTTTCTTGGTAGACTTTGCCCCAAGTTTTTGGGGTCTGGCCAAAGGCACAGCAGCAATTTTGGGGTATCTGGAAGTCTGAAAGCACCATCAGGCTGCTGATGCACTTGCCTCACAGGTACAGATTGACCTGCTGGCGGCACCATACCTCCGTCTGCAGGTTCTTGCTGGACCCTGGCAGAGTCACAGGGGCTGAGCAGCAACTGACCAGCACAGGCTCCGGGTGGGCATCGTTATTAAAGTATAAGCCACATGTGCTCATATCATTGATTGCACGATCTCTAAGTCACTTGCTGTCACTCATTGGAAGAGTGGGAATGGGCACAGAGATGATAACTCAGTGGGCCCACTGATAACTCAGTGCTCTTACTGGGATGCCCGCTAACAGTCCTGCATGCGGGACCAACTCTGGGTTTACAACAGGTCTTTCCTTCCAGGGAAAACTCTCCATGGACTCAGATGGACATTCATTTAGCTCTTCCTCTGTCATGACTTATTCCAAAGTCGGAAATGAACCACCAAAGGTCTTCCAAGCCTCGACGCAGACCAGACGGGCCCCAGGAGGAGTGAGTGTTTTCTAAGCTTTGTGGCATTGTAGAAGGCCATGGAATTACAAATTACCAATACCAAAGCTTACTTATTTTGGCTCCTGAAATCTGATTTGGTACGAGATGGGGGGATATCTATCCCTGTGAAAGCATCCAGCTGACCGTGTACTCAGTTTCAGCCATTCTTGGTCCCCTCCCTGCTTCTTCCATAAATAGCTGTTGATTCTGTTACCATCATGCTTTCAGGCTCGAGACCCAGCCCATGAGCATGACTGCCGAGCAATCCATTGGCACTTGTGTGAATGGGCTGAGAAACCCCTGTTTATCCCGTGGCCTTTCCACCCCGAGTACTGGGGATCAAACCCGTCTCCCATGCCTGCAGCCCTGTCTGCTCTGAGTTCCTCTCAGTATTGGGGTAGAGTGGAGGCCACTGGGATTTGAAACTGTCACTCTTTGTCTCATTTTTTAAAATAATTTGTGGGAAAAGTACTTTTTAACTGGCTCTATTCTATACATTTTCATTTTTTGCTTATTTATGTTTTTGGGTCACAGCTCAGGGCTTTCACCTGGCTCTGTGCTCAGGGATCACTCCTGGTGCAGCTCCAGGGACCATATTCCCCAGTGCCAGGGATTGGGCCCAGGTCAGTTAATGTGCAAGGCACATACCCCATCTGCTGCACTCTCTCTTTGGTCCCACATTTTATTATTTTTTTTATTAAAGCACTGTGATTTTAAAAGTTATTCATAGTTGAGTTTTAGGCATAAAATATCGTAGCTTGGATCCCACCACCAGTGTCAACCCCCAAACCACTGTTCCCAAATCCCCTCCCATATTCCCTTCCCTCCCCCGCCCAACCTACCCTCCACACAGTCACCTTGCTAAGTGCAGCTGTTAAAATCTGGGCCTCTCGATTTCAGGGTTGCTGACTCTGTGGTTTGGATATTTGGCTCTGTCACTTCTTAACACCATCTTTGTACCTGCCTCCCCTGGCCTGGTTTCTGTTGTTTCTCATCTGTATCTTCTCCTCTCCCCTCCACTCTTTCCTCTCCTCCCTCTCCGACACTCAGCCAATGTTGATCTGGGCACACACTTTAATCTGTAAGCAGAAAAGTCAGAAGAGCTTTTCTGTGCAGTTCTACTAGACTTTAGCTGCGACGGCAACTAGGCTTGGAGGAAAAAGAATCTTGTCTGTTCTTTATGTATAGATGCTTAAATAAAAACGAAGTGACTGAAAACATTCTTTACAGATCAAGGAAACTCGGAAAGCGCTCAGAGACTCTGACAGTGGCATCGAGAAGATGTCTGTTGGCCACCACCTCCGAGACCGTGCTCATGTCATCAAGAAGTCCAAGAACAGCAGGACTGGGGACGAGGAGGTCAACCAGGAGTTCATCAATATGAATGAGAGTGAGTCGCCTGAACCAACAGCCATGCCCAGGAGCAATTGTTTCCGTAGAAGCATTTCATTCAGAGTTCTGAGGTTTGGTCCAGAGAGATTGTAAGGCCAACAGAGTACTTGTCTTGCACACAGTTGAGCTGGGTTTGATCCCCAGCACCCCTCATGGATCCCTGAGCACAGAGCCAGGAGTAAGGCCTGAGTCCCACCAGGTGTGGCCCAACAACCAAAAAAATTAATAAATAGAAGTTTTGGGGTTTATGAATGTAGAGAATACCTTATCAAAGTAATGGAATTATGGTTTTACCATTTCATAGTAGAGCTTTGTAGTAAAAGGTAAAGGCCCTCCCGTTGATCGTCAATTTGCTCGAGCGGGCCCAGTAACGTCTCCATTGGAGACTTTGTTGTTACTGTGTCTTTGTAGTAATATTTTATAATGTTGGACACCATTTGACTTTTTGTTTCATAGTTGGAGAATGTAGCTGGTCAGTAGGCAACGTGAGTTTTTATCTTTCTGATTTTCAAATTGATTTGAAAAGTATATAAAAAAAGAAACAATGGGGAGTGTCCTCCAAGCAGGGCTCAGTGGTTCCAGGCCACTCTGAGCCCCACATCAGCTAGGATGAACAACTCAGGGCCCAGGCTCAGCCAGGGCTGGAAAGCAAAATGGGCCTCAAACTCCTCTTATTTTTTTATCCTTTTTTTATAATATTATTTATTGCATCACTTTTTTTTTATAATATTATTTATTGAATCACCGTGAGAGCAGTTACAAAGCTTTTGGATTTAAGTCTTGGTCATACAATGAAACACCTTTCCCTTCACCAGTGCCCATTTTCCATCACCAAAAACCCCAGTATACCCCCATCCCACACCCTCCCCCTACCTGTGGGGCAGATGATTTTCACATTACTCTCTCTCTACTTTGATCACGTCAAACTCTTTACCTCTCCAGCCCTAAAGAAGCAAATTTGAATTAACCATGATCCTAACTCAAATTTTATTGCATTTCTTTTAGTTTTACTAAAAGCATCTATTGACAAACACTTTCAAAATTAGGTTTGGCTATCACAATCATTTATGCCATGCTTATTTTATTTATAATTATAGCTGAGAACAATCAAATATGATTTTTAAATATATTGAAGGTAGTATTTTATCTTTGATAATGTTTTAGCAGAAATGCATTGAAGATAAATATTTCTGTTTTCTAGATTTCATGTTTCTCTTCAATGCATTTTAGGTCTAATAATATCCTGCATCTTCTCATCATAGTTTTAAAATTATACTTGTCGCCTGTTTTCCTGACAGAAAGTGTTTTGAATGACATTGCTTTATTAAAGGTTTTAAATTATTGTATCATGTTAGAAAGAAATTATCTTTTATTTTGCTTGCTTTTTGGGTCACCCCTGGCGATGCACAGGGGTTACTCCTGGTTCTGCAATCAGGAATCACTCCTGGAGGGGCTCAAGGGACCATATGGGATGCTTGGAATCAAACCCAGGTCTACTGCATGCAAGGCAAATGCCCTACCTGGTGTACTATCGCTCCACCCCAAGAAATTATCTTAAGTTTGGAGTTTAATCAAAATTATTCTTATGGATGTCAGAAACCTTTTAAACCTTTCTTTAATTTTAATCTTTGTGATTTTGTTATCTTTGTAAATTTTTCATTGTTAAATATAATGTTATTTCATAATTAACATGTTGAAGAAAAAGTTAGTGAAGTGAACACAGTATGAGAGTAATCTGAGAACAGGAATTAGTTTTTGGTTGTTGCTATTATGGAAAAATTACTTCGTACCAAATTGATAGGAGTAACCTAGTATTGAGGAATTGACAACTGGAGCTTGGGAGGAGCTTGGGAGGCCAAGCCAGTAGGAAAGTGGTGGGAAGAACGAGAAGTGTCCAGTAGGGAGAATGACTTGGTTAGGATGTGATGGCCAATTCACAACCATCAGGCAGTGTAACCGCATCAAAGAATCACTGGGTAGGCTGAGGACCTCAGGCGGGAGCATCAATAACCAAATCTAAGTTGGAGAGGAGCAACAAACAAGGAAACATCACAGTCACAGATAGTTTCCTGCTGGTGTCCTGAGTTCAGGCTTGCAGGAAACATCAGGTAAAAGGACTGGTGTGAGTAGCAAGACAGTTACTGATTGGTCGAAGCCTTAACCCCTGTCCCTCACTCTGGTACTTACTCTAGGTGATGCTCTTGCATTTGACGATGAGTGGCAGAGTGAGGTGTTAAAGTGCAAACCGGTGATACAATGCCGCAATATCGAGAACGGCCGGGTGCGAAGTATTTCTCATGATAACTCAGGATCCCGAGAACTCAAAAAAAGGTAAAAATTATCTCTACCAGTTTTTAAAAGAAGAAAAGTTATGTAGCCTTACCTATCAGGAAGTTTGAATTAACATCCAAGTTGTTTATAGCAACAATATCTTTTGAGAAAGATATAGTAATTTTAATTATTTAATTAATTAATTACATATAATAATTTTTATATAAATCTGAGTATGTCACATAAATGTAAATTTGTATGTATAAACCAATACATTTTTAGATTATATGATTACTCACTTGCACACGGTTTCAGAAGAAAAAGGTTCTTTTTTTCTTGGAAAAAGCGATATACTAAAATATTTTCTTGTGAAACTGATTGTAATCTGGCTGTTATGGTAGATCATACTTTTCATACAGGGAAAGGGTCTGGTGCCTGTAGATTAGACAGGAGAGAAGGGGGATATTTAAAAGGCTTAGACATTTGAGCTTTTGGGAATTACTTTGTCCAGTGAGCACAATGTTTGTATCGTCCAGGAGGATAGCTCCTGGTTCAATGAAAGAACTAGAGCTTTTTAATAATTGACTTTTTAATAATTGAACCTAAACTGTGTGACTAGTGGAAATTGGTGGTTCTCTTCATGGTTCAGTGATATCATCTGCTGATGTGTTTTCGGGGTTATTTAGAAACTTTTCAAATGAGACTCTCCTTAAACTTACCATGTTTATTATGTTAATCCACCCATGTTGTGGAAAGTGGAATTAATGTTTGTATGTACATTTCTCAGGGAGAAGATTCATCCGAGTCTCACCAGTGAAGGGGGAAGAAGAATTGGGTCTGCTGACAGACTCAACGTCAAAGGGTCAACTGTGAAAATCAACAAAAAATAAAGAGCCTTGCCTTAGTTTGGGTTGCTTTCCAGAGTGTACTGGTGCTGGGTAACCCACAGACCAAGCTCTAGTTGTTAGATGTCTCTGTGCCTCGCAGCTTGCTTCAGTTTTACTGAATGTTCTTGCTAGCCGAGATTGCCCTTGTTTTAGAAATAAACTTTGGTTTCAACAGTGGAAGTGAATTGCTAAGCATTCTATAGGGCTCTCCTGGCCACACTAAATTCTTAAAGCTCACATGCTGATTTTGCTTTCCCAGCTGTCTGTTGACTCTGTAGTCGTTCCTATGTTCAGATTGAATTTAGAGCCCGATTTGTTGTTTCGATTAGCTGTACAAATCAAATGTTCACTCTCCAAAAATAGGTTTTTCGGGGCTGGAGCAATAGTACAGCTGGTAAGGCGTTTGCCTTGCACACAGCCGACCTAGGTTCGATTCCCAGCATCCCATATGGTCCCCCGAGCACCGCCAAGAGTAATTCCTGAGTGCATGAACCAGGTGTAACTCCTGTACATCGCCGGGTGTGACCCAAAAAGAAAAAAAAAAATAGGTTTTTAATGGTTAAAAAATAGCTCACGTTTTAGTAACAGATTGATATTAATATATTAATAAAGGTCAACATAACTTACCTCAAACTTCACACTGTGTCATATGTAACCAGATTTATATCTTAATTATGTTAAATCATGTTTAAAATATAGAGCAGAGCTGGAAAAATAGTACAGCAGGTCAAACGCTTTCCTTGCACACAGTCAACCGGGGCACCACTGAGGGTGACTCAAAACCCCCCTTAATCGAAAGCATAAAGCAATCTAATGGTAGGAGTTTTTAAAGGAGTTATTTGATCAGGAACATAACAAAGGTTCTCTGGTTCATCGCCAAGAGCATTTAATTTGCTAGTTTCCTTCTGCAGTCTGCTTATTTCACTCTCCACATTCTAAACCAGGGGCAGCGTTCCTGCCTGCCTTCCTGAAGGGCAGGTCTCATCTGCTGGGCAAGTGCTGGAAAGAGGGACAGTCTCCTCAGGAACTCTGTGCAGCCAATTTGTGACCCTCAGAAAATGCCCCTCCCTGGCCCTGGCCATAAATGTTTATAACTGACCTGCTAGAGCACGTGTGAAAGACACCAGCGCTGTGGCTCTTCGACCTTTAGCACGCGCATAGCAGATGGTAATGCACTGGGAAACTGCCGTAAGGCATCACTGTCACTGTCACTGCCCTTGTCCTCCTGTTGTTCATCGATTTGCTCAAGCGGGCCCAGTAACACTGTCAGACTTGTTAGTGTGTTTGGCATATCGAATACGTTACGGGTAGCTTGCCAGGCTTTGCCGTGTGGGCGAGATACTCTCGGTAGCTTGCTGGGCTCTCCGAGAGGGGTGGAGGAATTGAACCCGGCTCGACCGGACTGGATGTGTGCAAGGCAAACGCCCTACCCCGTCACTTTTGAATAATACTTTTTACAGCGGGTAGGGCGTTCGCCTTGCATGCAGCCGACCTGGGTTCGATTCCTCTGTCCCTCTCGGAGAGCCCGGCAAGCTACTGAGAGTATCCCATCCACACGGCAGAGCCTGGCAAGCTCCCCATGGTGTATTCAATATGCCAAAAACAGTAACAACAAGTCTCACAATGGAGATGCTACTGGTGCCCGCTTGAGCAAATCGATGAACAACGGGAGGACAGTGCTACAGTGCTACTTTTACTTGAATTTACTTGATAGAGCAAAATCTAGACATTGTGATTCTCCTTTTGCCTAACATCAAGTCACTGATGGTGACTTGAATTTTTATGTTAACAAGAGGACAATAATGAACAATGCACTCAATGACTCCTATATAATGTGGCAATTAGAGAATTCATGGATTCCCTCACTTTTTTCCACCACAAATGTCAAGTACAAATTAAAGTTTGTATTTGTATACACACCAATGTGTGTATATAAATAATCACTGTGTCACTATCACTGTCATCCTGTTGTTCGTCAATTTACTCGAGCAGATGCCAGTAACATCTCTCTTCGTCCCAGCCCTGAGATTTTAGCAGCCTCTCCTTATTCATCTTTCCCAATGATTGGAGGCTTTTTCAGGGTCAGCGGAATGAAACCCGTTATAGTCACTGGTTTTGGCATATCAAATACGACACGGGTAGCTTGCCAGGCTCTGCCCAGGCAGGCGGGATACTATAGGTAACTTGCCGGGCACTCCGAGAGGCACATATATATATATTTTTTATATTTACATATATATTTATCTATATCATTATAATATATTTACGTATACATATATTATATATTATATACATATATTTATACATATATATATTTCTCTTCATGATTTTGTTGCCTACTGTCTAAACTCCATCAAACATGGTGTGGTAATTATGTACAATGGGTAGGAAGTGTCCCATGATGTGTTGTGCGGCTGCTTTCCTGGCAGCGGTTGGGTAGTGGAGGTCGGCTGCTGGGGTTGGGTCCCTTGGGACGTGGAGGGCTCTCGCCTGCTCCCCCCTGGGCTCCCTGAGTGGAAACAGCCTGGCACAGAGTCCAGTGGCATGGTTTTGGGGGCCTCCTTTTATACTCCTGTCTGGGAGGAGCAGCCGTGATAATACCTTTCTCTTTTGCTACGTGCTTGCTTTTTGTAATTTTTTTTTTTTTTTTTTTTGCTTTTTGGGTCACACCCGGCGATGCACAGGAGTTACTCCTGGTTCATGAACTCAGGAATTACTCCTGGTGGTGCTCAGGGGACCGTATGGGATGCTGGGAATCGAACCTAGGTCAGCTGCATGCAAGGCAAACGCCCTACCCGCGGTGCTATTGCTCCAGCCCCACTTTTTGTAATTTTTAAAAATTTTTTTAATTGAATCAGTGAGGTACACAGTTACAAAACTGTTCATGATTGGGTTTCAGTCATATAATGTTCCAGCACCCCATCCCTTCACCAGTGTATATTTCCCATCACCAATGTCCCCAGTTTCCCTCCCACCCCCATGGCAGGCACCTCTCTCTCTCTCTCCCTCCCTCTCTCTCTCTCCCTCCCTCTCTCTCTCTCTCTTTCTCTGTCTCTCCCTCCCTCCCTCCCTCCCTCCCTCCCTCCCCCACTCCTTTTGGGCCTTAAGGTTTGCAATACCAATACTGAAAGGTTGAAAGGTTATCAGGTCTATCCCTTTACCTGCTCTCAACACTCGGTTCCTATCCAAAATGATCATTTCCAACTATTATTGTCACACTGGTCCCTTCTCTATCCTAACTGTCCTTTACCACCCCCCCCCCCCCCACACACACACCTGTGGCAAGTTTCCAATCATTGACCTGTCTTCCTCACCCATTTTTCCTTGGCCTTGGCTATTAGTCTCACACTATTTTTTTTTTTACATACCACAAATGAATGATACAGTCATTCTATATCTGGCCTTCTTCTTCATTTCACACAGCATGATACTCTCCATGTCCCTCCACTTATAAGCAAATGTCATGACTTCATTTCTCCGAAGGGCTGCATAGTATTCCTTTGTGTAGATAGTTTCTTTATCCAGTCGTCTGTTCTCAGTTGTTTCCAGATTCTGGCTGTTGTGAATAGTGCTGCGATGAACACAGAAGTACAGATGACATTTCTGCTGTGTGTTTTGCCACATGCTTTCTTGGAGGACACAAAAATGTGATATAGAGAATATGTGCCAATTCTCTGTTCACATAATGCTTTAATTTTAACCTTTTGCAGAGTTTATGCTAAAGTCAACCTTAGCCAGTCTCCCAAAGGGTTTCTCACTTGGGCCTGCACCCGCATCTCGTGTTCTCGGGGTGCCAGGGAATGAAAGCCACACGGTTTGGTGTCTGGGGCCTCAGCCTTGACTGTGAGCTCAGAGTCTTGGCTGCTATGGGACAGGCTGTGTCAGAGGGTGCCTGCCTGCCTGTCTGCCTGCATGCGTGCATGTGTGTGTGTATATGTGTGTGTGCGCGTGTGTGTCTGTGTACTGTATGTGTGTGTAGTGTATGCGTGCATGCGTGCGTGTGCGTGTGCGTGTGTGTGTGTGTGTGTGTGTGTGTGGTGCCTGTGGGGGTGGATGGTGCTGCAGGGGCTCCAGGGAAGAGCGTGATGGTCAGGGGCTGTGGGATCTGGGAGGTGGGATCTGTCTGCACTCAGACCTTGGCCCTGCACCTACCATAACTCGGGACGGAAACTTCCGGTCGCTATGCTTGCTCAGTGTTTGCTGAGCTCTGGTTATGTGGAGATCCACCGAGGGGCCCTGCCAGCGGCGACCTGGGAGTCTCCGTTACAGGATTTCACTTGCGGATCTGAATTGGGGGGTTCAGCTCCCAGTATGGTGCTTGTTACTGTCTCCTGGGTCACGGGGTCCTGATCTGACTTTCTCCTGGGAGTGGCCGTGGGGGACCCTTGCTCACTCGCAGCTGGTGCCCGCATTTCCTAGGTCTGTGGTCAGGCGACAGCAGAATGGCTCAATCCCGAGACAGACTCGGTGATGGTTTATATCAGGGCAGTCGTCAGCTAATAGGTATATCAGAGGTTTAGATCGGGGGCAGTTTTTATTATGTAAATTTAAAACGAAAATATTCTAGTCCATATAAAAGGTTGGGCTTTTTATGATATAAAATCTCAGAATTGCCCATCTTAAAGAAGTTATTAACACCACCAATTGTGTAATCACAGAATAGAAAATGATGTTTAGATAAAATTTTTATGGTTTTTTTCTCACTTTCCCATTGCCCCCCTTTCTAAAAATGTAATCACAGTGAGAAACTTTTCACGTCTCTTAAAATTTTATTCCAAACAGTATTCATTACAAGTACTAGATGTGCCAGCTCAAGTCCGACCGCACCCCCATCTCAGGGCCCAGGGGTTGCCCCAGCAGTGTGCGGGTACGGCCTGGTGCTGGGGAGCGAACCAGGCCTCCTGCGTGGCCCCAACGCTGGCGCACATGTCCTCTGAGCACGACACGACCCCCCCCCCCAACCCGCCCCAAATGTCACATAAAAACTGAGGTCAAGTTAGTTCTTGGATACCTAGACAGGTCATCAGTAAACCCAGTACAAGGCTTTGGTCGCCAAAGACAGCACCGAAGGATCTTTCTTGTGTGGTTTAAGGGTCAGAGTTTACAAAGGTGGGCACAGCTGCTGGCTGTATGCTCTGACTTGAACTTCCTGGATCTGAGTCCTGACTAACCCTAACCCTCACCTGCATGGAGGTAGCTGGTTCTTCATTTCTGTCTTTCAGTTCTCTTTCTGAAACAAAACTAAATTGCTTTGGCTAAAAGTGGTAATTTTAAAAAATTAAGAATACGTGATATAATAATTACAGAAAATATGAATAGATATACTTACAAGAATGAATTTTTACTTAAGGAACCTATTAAACTGCTATTCCGGCATTGTCAGGATGCTGTTTTAGTAACATTAAACGGTGCTCGGGGCTTACTCCTGGCTCCACACTCAGGGGTCACTCGGGGCATCGCTGGAGCATCAGAGCCAAGGCGACCACTTAAAGCAACTGTCACAGCCCTGGCCCACATTTCCAGGTTTAATTCTAAAAAACAATCACCGTTTGCTGCTCACAGCTGTACAGAAGACACCAGCGCCGGGGCCATAGAAGGGCATCATTCAGGAGACAAATGACAGCGGGTGGTCCAAAGCCTGCGCCTGGGCAGGCGTGGCCCCAGCTGCGGGGTGGGGATGGGGGACGTCAGCTCAGACCCTGGATTCTGAGTTTCAGCCACCGGGAACGCGGACAGCGAATTCCCTGGCCACACTCCACAGGCCGCGGCCAGGCTCAGCCAAGGGGTCCAGGCTTACCACCTCAACGGGGCCCAATGCGCAGCCCGTTACCGTAACTGCACCTGGCGAGCATACCGAGGCCAGGGAATTACGGTAACGCCCTGCAGCGTGGCAGCCGCCGCCCGGGCCACGGAGAGGCACTGCGGGGGCACAGAGGGGCACATTGGGGCACGGAGGGGCACACTGGGGGCACAAAGGGGCACACTGGGGCATGGAAGGGCACTCTGGGGGCACAGAGGGGCAATGCGGGGGCACAGAGGGACACTGCGGGGGTACAGAGGGGCACTGCAGGGGCAAAGAGGGGGCACAGAGGAGCCCTGCGGGGTCACGGCGGGGTACGGGGTGGGGGGGGACTGCGGGGCCACAGAGGGACACTACGGGGGCACGGCAGGGTACAGATGGGGCACGGAGGGGCACTGCGGGGGCACAGAGGGGCATTGCGAGGGTCCGAATGCTGACCGGCTCTGGCCTGGACCGCTCACCTGCTCCCGCGGCTCGTGGCCGTCGGGGCGGCCAGACCCCAGCGGCGGGTCCCGCTCCCGCCAGGACCGAAGAGCACGCGACGCCGCCGGCGCTGCACTTCCTCCTCCGCGGCTGCAGGGGGCGCGGGCGGCGGGCGGCGGGCCTTGGCTTCCGGCGCGCCCCCCACGGCCGTCGCCCCCGCCCCCCGCGGCGACCTTCGCCCCGGAAGCGCTCCCGGCGCCCGCGCGGCGTGACTTTGGCGGCTGCTGGCGGGGCTGCGGCGCCCGGACAGCGACCCGGTGGGCTCGTGTCACCCCTCGCACGGCCATGAAGCTGCTGGCGGCCGCCGCCGGCGCGGCCCGGAGCTGGGCGGGACGGCAGGTGCGCGGAGGGTCCCTGCGGGTACACGGGTTCACCCTAGGGGGCCCCGGGCGCACCCCAGGGTGCCCACCCCAGGGTGTCCCCTTGCCCCCCAGGATGCCCACCCCAGGGTGCGCACCAAGGATGCCCCACGCCCCCCCTGGGTGCCCACCCCAGGGTGCCCTGGACCCACCCCAGGGTGTCCCCTTTACCCCGAGGATGCCCACCCCAGGGTGCGCACCGAGAATGCCCCACGCCCCCCCGTGCCCACCCCAGGGTGCCCCGGACCCACCCCAGGGTGCCCACCCCAGGGTATCCCCTTTCCCCCGAGGATGCCTGCCCCAGGGTGCGCACCGAGGATGCCCCACGCCCCCTCCCCCGGTGCTCACCCCAGGGTGCCCCAGACCCACCCCAGGGTGCCCACTCCAGGGTATCCCCTTTCCCCCGAGGATGCCCACCCCAGGGTGCGCACCGAGGATACCCCATGCCCGCCCCCCCCCCCCGTGTCCACCCCAGGGTGCCCTGGACCCACCCCAGAGTGCCCCGGACCCACCCCAGGGTATTCCCTTTCCCCCGAGGATGGCCACCCCAGGGTGCCCACGGAGGATGCCCCACGCGCCCCCCCCCCCCCGGGTGCACACCCCAGGGTGTCCTGGACCCACCCCAGGGTGCTGTGCCCCGGGTGTCGAGCAGGAGGCCCGGGCTGGTCCTCCTGCTGCACCTTCTGGGGCTCCAGGCTCACTCTAGGTCCGGCAGCGTGCAGGAGCCAACCCAGGGAGGCACATAGGAAGTCTCTAAAACCTGAACCACTGGGAGAACATTTTCATGTTTCATTTTTTGTTTGCTTTTGCTTTTCGGCTCATACCCGGTGATACTTGGGTTCCTCCTGGCTCTGCACTCTGGAATTACTCCTGCTTGGGGGACCCTGTGGGATGCTGGGAATCGAACCTGGGTCGGCCGCAAGCAAGGCAAACGCCCTCCCCGCTGTGCTTTCGCTCCAGCCCCATCATGCTTCTTAAAAAGAGCCTGAGCCTTAAGTTTGCTCCGAACAGTGTTTGTTACAGGGACCAGATGTGCCAGCTCATGTCCGGTGACCTGTCCAGTGCACCTGTTCAGTGGCCCCCTGTGGGGCTCGGGGCTTGATCCCGGCTCTGTACTCAGGGAGCCTCCCTGCCGGGGTACAGAGACCCTTTGGGGTGCCGGAGGTCGAACCCGGTGGGCCACATGCCATGTCTCAGCCCCCGCGGTCCCCAGGGCTGCCTGGTGTCAGGGGGGCGCCCGGTCAGGCCCCGCGGGAAGCCCGGGGAGTCAGCGTGTGGCCCCCCTCCCATCTGCAGGCCCCCTGGCAGGGCTGCCGCCGGCGCTGCTCCTCGCGGGCGGTCCCCAATGAGAAGATCCGCAACATCGGCATCTCAGCGCACATCGACTCGGGGAAGACCACGCTGACGGAGCGCGTGCTTTACTACACGGGCCGCATCGGCCAGATGCACGAGGTGGGCACCCGCGGGGGACCGGGGGCTCGTCTTGGCACGCTCTGGTGCCAGGGGTCCGCTGGGGGCTCATACTCAGTCGTCACGTGGGACAGACCCTCGCCAAACACGCACGACGGCTCGTGAGAGGGGGCCAGAGTGATAGTCCGGGGGAGGGCACGTGTTCTCGTGACCTGGGGGCGCCCGCCAGCAGGGGTGACACCAGAGTCCTGCTGGGGGGCCCCAGAACACAAACAGGTTCCTGCCCCCCCCAGCCCGGGGCCCAGCGGGCGAGCAGCGGACAGGCTCAGTGAGGGCAGGCTGGTGACGGGTGGCTCTGTGACTGTGGGCCTTGCAGGTGAAGGGCAAGGACGGCGTGGGTGCGGTCATGGACTCCATGGAGCTGGAGCGGCAGCGTGGCATCACCATCCAGTCGGCCGCCACCTACACGCTGTGGCGGGGTGTCAACATCAACATCATCGACACCCCGGGTAGGTGGCGGCACCCGCTGGTGGGGGGAGGGGCACCATCAGCATCATCGACACCCCGGGCCGGCGGGTGAGGGGCACCCGGCGGGTGGCTGCTCAGGCCCCTTTCCTGTCCCGCAGGGCACGTGGACTTCACCATCGAGGTGGAGCGCGCGCTGCGGGTGCTGGACGGCGCCGTGCTGGTGCTGTGCGCCGTGGGCGGGGTGCAGTGCCAGACGCTGACGGTGAACCGGCAGATGAAGCGCTACGATGTGCCCTGCGTCGCCTTCATCAACAAGCTGGACCGCACCGGCTCCAACCCGGCCCGCGCCCTGCAGCAGATGAGGTGGGTGCCGGCCCTGCCGCCCGCAGAGGGGCGCCCAGGTGGGTGGGGACAGTCTGGCAGGCGGGAGCGGTGTTGGCAGCTAGAGAAGGTTCTGGAAGTGCTCCTGTTTCTCCTCGGCTTCCTCCAGAGGAATCGAAACTTCCCGAGCCGGCCGTGGTGGCCAGAGTGACCGCAGCAGCCGCAACCCTCAAGCGTCCATGCCTGGCCCTTTGTGGGACTGAGGCCCGGCCTGTGGGGGCCGAGCCCCTGCCCGTAGCCCCGGAAGGAGTGCGGGATGTGGGGTGGTGTGGCCCTCGGCAGGATAGCGGGGCCTTGTCCGCTGGGAACTTGTGGCATCTCAGGCAGCCGGGGCTGGCCTCACCTGTGCTCGGGGCCGGGAGAGGTGGTAGGCGGTCCCTGGGCGGGCATCTCTGGGCAGCGTCTTCCTCTCCGCCCCACTCTCTCTGCTCCTGCCCTCACCCGTTTCCTCAGTTGGTAACTGCAGTTTCAGAACTCCGGCCTCTCCCTACCTTGTGCATGACCTCCGAGGACCCCGCTCCCTGGGGAGCGCAGGCGGCTCCTGGGGGGCTGACGCAGTCTCTGCTGCTCGCAGGTCAAAGCTCGGCCACAATGCGGCCTTCCTGCAGCTCCCCATCGGCCTGGAGGGCGGCTTCAAGGGCCTCGTCGACCTCGTGGAGCAGCGGGCCATCTACTTCGACGGCGACTTCGGGTGAGCCTGGAGGCTCTGAGCTGGTCTCGGGGAGGGTCAGAGGGACGCAGGGAGGCGCTGGTCGTGAGCGAGGCGGGTTCTGTCTGACGGGCGCGTCCTGCAGGCGTGAGCACGGCTTCCGAGTCAGCCCCGGCCCTCTGCCACCTGCAACAGTCTGCATTGCAGTTCATGACTCTGTGACGGTTGTGGCATTTGGGCGCTTGAGTGCAAATATCAGCCCTCTCCCCCAGATTCCAGCCCCTCTCTGCGCCCTCTGTGCCCCCCGCCCCCCCCCCCCCCCCGGGTGGCTCTCAGCCATCCAGGTTCCCAAGTGCCTCACGGGTTGGCTTTGCCCAGTCAGGAGGTCCGGTATGAGGACATCCCGGCAGACTTCCGGGCAGCGGCAGCAGACCACCGGCAGGAGCTGATTGAGTGTGTGGCCAACTCAGATGAGCAGCTGGGGGAGATGTTCCTGGAGGAGAAGACCCCGTCGGTCTCTGACTTAAAGGCCAGTGCTTGCGAGTCCCCGTCACTGGGGAAGGGGCGTCCGGCCTTGGCGGGGACTCCCTGCTTATCAGCAATGAGGTCTGAGTGGGCGCATTCCACTAGAGCGAGCGGGTGCTTCACACTCACCACGGCAGCTCTTCAGCGAGTGAAGGCGGAAAGTGGTTTTCAGCCAGTCCATGGGCCCGCGGGTGTAGATGGTTGGACCTGGGGTCTCCCGCCCTGCTTCCAGCTGCCGTGCCATGTGCAGGGCCGGAGCCGTCCGCTGGTGGGGGGGGTGGGGGACAGAGTGTCTTAAAGTGACACCGCCACCCCAGGCGCCTTCCTGCGGCCCCAGGTGCATGGCTGTGGAGAGCAGGTCGGGGTTGGACACTGACCGGGACAGTCACTTTGCTCCTGCGGGCCTGCGCCCCAGCTGAAGAGGCTCGAGAATACGGGGCCGCTTCTTCTGTCTCTTCTCCCCCGTCTTCCCCACTGCCGTGCTTCTCTGTGTGGCTGTGGAGTGAACGCCCTGGGCCCTAGGAACAGGCTGTGTGCGGGGCTGGGGCAGGGGCCACGGCACTGCCGGGAGGGAGGCGGAGCTGGGTCCCCCGTGCCCAGTGGCCCCTGCTGCCCCCTATGCCGCCACCTGGCAGTGGCTGTCCACAACTGTGGTCCTGACCTGCTGCCTGCCCTTGCACAAGTGGACATCGGCCCGCAGGGGTTTTCAGCGGTGTTTGCTGCCACAGAGGAACACGTGTGGCCCCCTCAGGGCTGCGTGCAGACCCTTGAGGCGTCCCATTCTGTTCCGGGTGAGCGTACAAACGCCAGCTCCCTGCATGCCTTGTGTGTGCTGCTGACCTGTGGGAAGGCCGCGGGTCCTTGGCAGAGCCTCGCCTGGGTCTGAAGCTTCTGTGCTCACACCTTCAGTGTGTGTCTGCTTCAGCTGACATCAGTGACGTTCTGAGAAAGCCCTGAAGGCGCCTGACCAGGGCCTGGGCCATGGGGCAGTGGGGGGCGTTTTCCCGGCTCATCCCCGGCCCCCGGAGAACCCGCCGGGTCCACCAGGGGTGTTTGAGCACAGCCGGTTTGGCCGCCCGTCCCCTCCCCAGATCCCGCTGCCCAGTGGATGGACCGGTGACCTGGAGGGCACCAGGCTGGTGTGTTCTTGCACTCCTGAGACTCATGGTGCTTTTTCCGGTCACAGCTCGCCATCCGGAGAGCCACTCTGCAGAGGTCCTTCACCCCCGTCCTCCTGGGCAGTGCCTTGAAGAACAAAGGTGTGCAGCCGCTTCTCGATGCCGTGCTCGAGTACCTCCCCGACCCGTCGGAGGTCCAGAACTACGCGATTCTCAACCAGGAGGAGTAAGTCCTGGTCCGTGTGCAAACATGGTCAGGTGGTGGCGGAGTTTCCTGGCGTTTAGTGTCAGTCAGGGCTGGGGATGGTCTGGGGGGAAGGCGTGTGTGGAGGCGGTGGCCTGGCCGGGTCCCAACCCGGCACCATGTAGGTCACCCTGAGCAGTGTTGTCACCCCGAAACAACCAAGTCAAACCGCTGCTTGTCTGGGAAGCCACTTTGACATACAGAAACACACACACTGGGGCTGGAGCGGCAGCATGGCAGGGAGGGCACTTGCCTTCCACGTGGCCAGCGTGGTCTCGATCCTCGGCATTCCACATGGTCCCCCGAGCCCCTCCAGGTGTGATCTCCAAGTGCAGAGCCAGGAGTAGCCCCTGAGCACTGCCGGGTGTGATCCAAAGTCCCAAAAGACTGGGGCAGCACCACCTCCCTGTCCAGGTCTGGCCCGCCGGGGTTAGGGGCCTGCTTCCCACTGACTCGGGCCGCGGCTGGCTGGGCCGGGCTCCTGGTGCGTGGTCAAGACTGCAGGGGCCAGGATCCGGGCCCAGGCTGCGGCAGACCTGACTCGCCCCAGCGCGCCTGTGTCACTGTCGTGTTGCTTCTCTCCGAAGCGCCTCCCAGGAGAAGACCCGCGTCCTGATGAGCCCCCTGCGCGACAGCTCGCACCCGTTCGTTGGCCTGGCCTTCAAGCTGGAGGTGTGTGTCCGCTGCCGGGAGACGCCTGCCCTGGGGTCCCCACCACAGCCACCTAACCTCTGCTCCTGCACACGTGGCCGGTGACCCCCTTCCCTCACCATGAGGGGGCAGAGGCAGCCCAGGCGGTATTTGGGGTGGGGGGGGCTTGTCTCCCACCCCCATGTGTGTGTGCTGGCGGTCGCTCACTGTGCTTAGGTTAATCATCCGGTCTCATGGCTGCATCAGCCGTGCCTGGCCCCAGGCTCCCCCTCGGGATCGAACTTGGGTCCGGCACATGCCTTCAGGGCCCTCCCCCATTTGGCCCTGCTGAGCTCATTCCTAGCCAGTGGCCGGGCAGCTTCAGTATCTCTGCTGGAATTCCTGAGAAGTTCCCACTGGTTGTGCAGTTTCCTCTAGGATGACGCCTTCCACTTTCTGTCCTTTCTTCCTTGCTCTGTGCAGTTCCCTCTGGGAAGACACCTTTCAGTTTTTCTCCTCCTTCCTTGCTCTGTGCAGTTAGTTCCTTTAGGGATGACGCCTTCCACTTTCTCACCTTTCCTTCCTTGCTCCATGCAGTTCCCCCATAATGACACCTTTCGCTTTCTCTCCTTTCCTACCTTACTCCATGCATTTGGATGATGTCTTCCACACTCTCTCCTTTGCTCTCCGCAGTTTTCCCTGGGATGACACCTTCCACTTTCTCTCCTTCCTTCCTTGCTCCGTGCAGTTCCCCCATGATGACACCATCTTCTTTCTCTCCTTTCTATACTGATTCCGTGCATTTCCCCCCATGATGACGCCTTCTGCTTTCTCTCCTTCCTCGCTCCATGCAGTTCCCCCCATGATGACGACGCCCTCTGCTTTCTCTCTCTTCCTTCCTTGCTCCTCTGGGACTCGCAGGCAGGCCGTTTTGGGCAGTTGACCTACGTGCGCAATTACCAGGGAGAGCTGAAGAAGGGCGACACCATCTACAACACACGCACGGGGAAGAAGGTGCGGGTGCAGCGGCTGGTGCGCATGCATGCCGATGCCATGGAGGTAAGTCTTTGGGCGCAGCGGGTGGGCTCGGCGAGCAGGCGGGCCCCCGGGAGCTGGCCTCCTGGAGAAGGAGGGACTGCGGGGGTTGGGGTGGCGTGGAGCCCTGTCTTCGACCCCGTGCGATGCCACCACAGGTGCGAGAGTCCACCTGCAGATGCGATCCCGATGGCCTGGCCTGGGAGAAGCGTGGGCGGGGACAGGTGGCCCAGGGGGGATAGAGCCCGCCCACCCTCGGGTCAGCTTTGTGTGCCTGGAGGCAGCAAATCTTGCACCCTCAGCCTCCGACTGTCCCTGCTGCCTCGCCCCCAGACTGTAGACGCTGACTTGCGGGAGGGGCACGGGGCCGTTGGGCCGGGACAGAGATGCACCTGCCGGCGCGGCTGCAGCTGTGGGGGTCTCACCAGCCCGCGGAGGGACAAAGCCAGGAAGCCCAGAGGCCCTGCCGCTTCCTGCCGCGCTGCCGCCTTTGTGTCCGCTTCCTTCCAGGCTGGGCTGCCACACGGGCCTGTGTGTGACCCCGCCATGGGCCGAGAGACCCCTGGCCTTGGTTTAGCCAAGGCCTCGATGATGGGGTGCATGGGTGGGAGTTGTACACTGGGCGCCTGACTGCGTGGCTCTGAGGGGAATGTGTGTGTCCTATTTCTGTGTGTGTGTGTGTGTGTGTGTGTCTGTCTGTCTGTCTGTCTGTCTGTGGGTTCCGTGTCTGACCTGGCTGTGCTGGGGGACAGTTGGAATGTGGACGGGTGCCACAGCCCTATGCAGGCCCCGCCGGCTGCACAGCTTCCCGGGTGCCTGGCCAGTGTCGTCACAGGCTTCTGCTCCCTTCAGGACGTGGAGGAGGCGTTTGCGGGCGACATCTGTGCCTTGTTCGGCATCGACTGTGCCAGCGGGGACACCTTCACCAGCAAGGAGAGCAGCGGCCTGTCCATGGTGAGTGGCCCGTCCCCGCGCACGCGGCCCACCCCAGGCCTGCTCCAGGGCCGGGCGCAGCGCACGTCTGTGTGCGGGGCAGTGCTCCCGAGCACTGAGCCGGGAGTGACCGCACCAGGTGTGACCTCAAACCCAGAGGTCCCTGTGAAGGTGCGTGGGTCTCCCACACAGGACTTGGGGCCCGGGACCCCCCTCCCCGCCCTGTAGCTGGGCCCCTGGCTCAGGAGAGGAGCAGGGTGGAGCCTCGTGCACGGGGCACGTGCTCTTTGCTCATGTAGGAGTGAATTACAGGGGTGGAGAGGGGACACTGCGGGGGGGAGGGCGTGCCTTGCACAAGGCCAGTCCCCAAACCCCACCAGAGGTGACCCTGAGACAAAAGTGTGGCTCCTGGAGCATCACCTGGTCCCCCCGGGATCCGTCACTGACCACAGGGCCGGGCAGAGAGCAGATCGAGTGTGTGTGGGCGCTGCCTCCGCTCCTCAGTGGCCTCCTCGCAGGGCCCTGCACCCGGCGCCTGAGCGCCCCAGGCCCACCGCTTCCCTCTTTGGGGTGCGGGACGCAGCTGTGGTGCCCAAGAAGGGGCCCCATGGCTCAGCCTCACGTGGCCGAGACACGTGCTCTACTTCCCTTTTGTCCGTAGAGGACCGCGGGCGTGTGGTGACCTGCCTGGGGACTGCTGGTCACTCTCCAAGAGGGCCTGCAGGCCGGGGGCACCACAAGGAGCTGTGGCCAGCTGCAGTCACTCACTGAGAGGACCTGCAGGCCGGGGCCACGTGCAGGGAGCCGTGGCCACCCACAGTCACTCGCCGAGAGGGCCTGCGGGCCGGGGCCACCCGCAGGGAGCTGTGGCCACCCACAGGGAGCCCTGGGCAGCTGCCAGACTCCTCGTGCGTTGGCAGACGCGAAAGAGCTCCTTGGGCCGGGGGACTGAGGGTGGGAGTGGAGTGGACACTGGCGGCTCCTCAGGACACCAAGCAGATCTGGGGAGTGAGTTGGCCTGCTGATCCTTCTGCCCTGGGCCAATGTGGGCAGCATCACTGCCTCTGGGACCACAGGGGGTCAGTGAGGTGGAGCGTGTCCGTCTGTGCCCCCAGAGCCCCCCTGGTGGTGGGTGGGGACAGGCTGCCCCAAGATTGATGCGGGTCCTTGCTGCTGTCTCGGTCCCGGGCATGCTGGCGGAATGGCCATTGGGGCAGCCGTGAGGACGGCGTCCTCATCTCGGTGTTGGGTGCCAGTTTCCCGGGCAGAGAAGCTAACAGGCCCACGTGTGACCGGGAGCTCCTGACCAGCTGACGGCTGCTCGGCCCTGCTGACTGCAGAGGCAGCTCTCGCCTCAGGCTGCCAACTACCCTCCTGTGGAAATGGCACCCTAAAGCCAGTCACCCCGACTCACTCTTGGCTCTGGAAATTTTCAGGAGTCCATCCACGTGCCCGACCCTGTCATCTCCATCGCCATGAAGCCGGCCAACAAGGTGGGTGTGAGCCCGCCCCCAGAGCACACCTGAGTCCCCAAGGAATGGGGCAGCCATGGCCTTGGGGCTGGGGGGACGTGTTCATGTAGGGCCACCGACCCATGGAGATGCAGCATCCAGCACGTCACACGCTGACCGTCGGGTCAAGGTGGCGCCTGGTCACTAACCGTTGCTGGAGAAACCAGAGTTGGTTCCACAGGCCGAGCCCCTGGTGTCTGGCCCTAACTTGGGGATGGGAGCCAGCCTCAGGAGCCATTTCCCCAGGGGAACGGCTTTGCGCCTGAAGCTGGGGAGGCTGGGGAGGCCGGGGGTTCCTCTCTGCCTGCGGGCGGCCCCCGCGGGGCTGTGAGGTACAGCCACTTCCTCGGCCAGGGGAGCCGTGACTGACCACAGCCGTCGGAGCCTTTGATTTCACTCTGCCGGGCTCTCAGTAATCCCATGGCTTCTCGTGCTTAGTAGGATTTATAGGTAAAGGTAAAGGTAAAGGCCCTCCCGTTGATCGTCGATTTGCTCGAGCGGGCCCAGTAACGTCTCCATTGGAGACTTTGTTGTTACTGTGTCTGGCATATCGAATACTCTCGGTAGCTTGCCGGGCTCTCCGAGAGGGGCGGAGGAATCGAACTCGGGTCGGCCATGTTGGCCGCTTGTAAGGCGAACGCCCTACCCGCTGTGCTATCGCAATGTTCTGTTATAGAATGATCTGGAAAAATTCTCAAAAGGCATCAGCAGATTCACAAGAGAAGACCCCACGTTTAGAGTCCACTTTGACACCGAGAGCAAAGAGACGATCGTCTCTGGGATGGGGGAATTACACCTGGAAATCTACGCTCAGGTGTGTGTGTGTGTGTGTGTGTGTGTGTGTGTGTGTGTGTACACACCTGGAAATCTACGAGCAGGTACCACCTGCGGGGGTTTGTTCAGGTTGGCCAGGGCGGGTGGGTGTGTGTATCTGTCTGTCTGTCTGTCTCTCACCTTCCCAGCCTCCATCATCCCCAGCGCTGGAGAGTGGGGTCCGTGGGCCCTGGTCCTTGTCTTGGGGGCAGCTGGCAGGGAGGCTCTGAGGTGCTTCCATTCCCGTGGCACGATGAGGAGCGAGCTGAGGGTCCCCCCGCAGGGCGGGCTCCCGTGGGAAGGGGCGGGGACGGGGCGGGTTCCTGTCCTGTGGGTGCCCCTGAAGCTGACTGTAGACATGTGGGTTTCGACCCCTCATCGTGGCATTCCCAGGTGATGCCAAGGAAGAAGTGGAGTTGGGGTGGAGAGGGGCAGGGTCGCTGACGCGTGTGTGAGCGGTGGAGAGTGTAGTGGCCCCGAGCCGGCAGCCCAGCCTCTCTCAGTGTGACAGCAGGTTCCGTGTCCTGTCCTTGCACCGGCGTAGTGGCTCTTGTGTGCTCGTGTTCGGTGAAGGGTGGTCAGGCCCTTTGGGGGTTTCCCTTGCGGCTCGCCCTGGAACACGTGAGAACGTCCTCTCCCTCGTCTTTGTAGCGGATGGAGAGAGAGTACGGCTGTCCCTGTGTCACCGGAAAGCCCAAGGTGGCCTTCAGAGAGACCATTACTGCCCCCGTCCCGTAAGTAGGCGGCACCAGACACTTGGGCTGGGGGGGGGAGCCTTTTATTTGGGGGACATGCGGCTCGGCGAGGGGGAGGGGCGCCGTCCCTCCTCACTGCGGTTCTGCGGCCTTGGGCAGGCGGCTGTGATGTTTGACCTTCGTGCCATACTGCGGGTGCCAGAGAACTTGCATCTGCCATGGGATGATCTCCTGTGGGTGACAGAAGCAGTGGCGTGGCAAGTGCCCAAGAGCGCCGGGCTGTGGTCAGGGCTCCGCCTTTCTGTGCCCCCTGGGGCTGAGGCCAGCCGTGGCGGGCGCCATCTGTCTGTCTGTCTGCTGGGGGCGGCGGGGCCCGGGCAGCCTGTCTGTGTGCTGGGGGCGGCGGGGCACGGGCAGCCTTACCTGAGACACGATGTCGTGGAGGAGAAGGGTATAATCCAGCTCGATGAAGTCGTCGTTTCTCGGCTAGAACCACAGACATGGGCCTGGTGTCAGTCACATCCGAGGGGCCGGGCCTAGGCTCGGGGTCACACCATGGCAGCCCCAGGTTCCGTCCCCAGCACGATCAAGAATACAGGCATAGAAAGTGACAGCCACTCCCACTGGCAAATGTGGGACTTAAACATGCTTTTGTCAGTTGGTAGCTATGATACTTGTATTTTCAGGTAAACGAGAATTGGATGTCATGATTTCAGTTTAGGCTGACAGAAAATCTATTTTCTGGTGTTAAAAACGGTTTTTAAGAATCATGGATGGGGGGGCTGGAGCAGTAGTACAGCGGGCAGGGCGTATGCCTTGCACACGGCCCATCTGGGTTCAATTCCCAGCATTCCATATGGCCCCTCAAGCAACTGCCAGGAGTAATTTCTGATTGCAGAACCAGGAGTAGCCCCTGAGCAACACTGGGTGCGACCCAAGAAGCAAAAAAAGAAAAAGAATCATGGGGTTTTGTTGGCTGCTCAGGGCCGCTACCCAGCTGGTTTCCTTGAAGATGGGCGCCAGGCGCAGTCTGTACCTTCACTTAGGGTTCTTGAACGTTCAGAAAAGCATTGCTTTTAAGAGAGAAACCAGCAAAATGACCATTTCCAGGAAAGGAAACAGAAATTCCCTTTCCTTCCATTTTACAACAGGAAATGGTACAATGCCATGCAAGTGGCGTTTTTCTGATTTGGTGATTTGGTGCTCAGTCTTGGCCCACCCCAGGCCCGGCTGAGCTGACGGTTGGTGTGAGGCGCCCGGCACGGCAGGGGCCCGAGTCCAGCCTCCAGTGCCCACAGGCTCAGGCACTGGCCCCACCACCGTGGCCCCTGCACTGCCGGGCATTCTGGATTTTTAAAAGTTCTGCCAGGTACTGCATGGTGGCACTTTATTTTTTAATTTTTTTAATCTCTCGGTAAAACTGAGTGTGAACAGATTCATTTTCCTCTGTGGGACCCTGGAGGTGGGGCCTCAGAGGCAGTTCTGTGGAAACTGAGGCCAGCACCAGCGAGACAGGCGGCCGTGAGGAGACTGAGGGGCCCTTAGGAGCGGGCTGCGGCCGAGGCTTCTCCCCGCCAGCCCAGCACCCGCTGCTGTCTGAACACAAACCCAGGAGGAAATGGGGTGGGGGGACCAGGGAGCCAGTAACGGGGGCAGGCACTGGCTGTGCATAAGCCCGACCCTGGTTCCATCCCCGGCCCACCAGGAATGGTCCCTGAACACTGGCCGCGTGGCCCAAGCACAAACAAGAAGAAAGGAGCTATGAGGCGGGCACGGAGCCTGCCTGAGGCCAGGTCGTCCGACACTGCCTCGGCTGGCGGGGACTCCACTGCAGAAGCCCAGGGCCTCGGTTTTAACTCCAAGAGGTCCAGGGGTCGGGCGCTGGCATCTGTGTGGCAACCCCAGGTTGAACCTGGGCTGCTCAGCTGCTCTGTGGGTGTGGCCCCCGCCCCCCAGGTCCAGCGTGGCTGGAGGGGCCCTCTTCGCCCTCCTCGCCCGGTCATGGGTTCTGAGGCTTTGAATCAGCGTTAACCCTTGCACGCCGCCTGGGAATGACTCACCACTTGTCTGACAGTTTGGATCCTGGCCATCTTGTACCACGTGTTCTCGGTAGAGTTCTGCCATATGATATAACCACAGGCGACCCAGCCTAAATGTCGAACTGGCTCCATTTCTGGAGCGATATTCCCAAAATTGTCTGGTGGGGGGAAAGACGTGATATAACTTGCACATACAGAACCACCTTAAAAAAAAAAAGAGTTCAGTTCTAAGCAATATCTTGTTCCCCTCCAATGTGAAAATGCGGTGGTTTCCTGAATTTCTAAAATCTGTAATGTTTTTGTTGCGTTACATTGTTAACTTTTCTTTAAAGGCTAGTCTACTCCCGACAACAATCTGGAGGAGTAATTGAGCATAAGTAACTGACTTGATTGCAAAGTGAAAGGAAGGGTGTTTCGGACCGCGTTTCTATACCTGGAATATTCTGTGCATTCAGTGGCTCCTTGGTGGACTTCAGTCTTTGGTAGAATGTGTCGTCCTCTTTATCTGGGTTCTTCCCGACCTCTCCTTCGAATGTGAAGTTGACCTCGGGGGCTGTGTCCTGCCCTTCTGGCGGATAAAGCACCTCTGCGGTGCAGTTCACGGTAACTTGCTGCAAGAAACAGATTGCAGGGATCTGTACTTGGGGCGGCCTCCCTTGACCGGGTCCTGCCCAAGCAGGAGTCTCGGGAACCGACCCTGTATCTGGTCAGTGTGGCCATGAGGGCCGTCCAGGCTCGCGGGACTGTGTCAGCATGGTGGGATGTCCCTGTGCAGGGCCAGGCCTGGTCTTGACTTGGTTGACCGAGTTCAGGCTCTGGTCCCGTTTCAGACCTTCCCTTCGCGCCTGGCTCCTGCCCCAGCAGGGAGCCGCCCCCTGCCATGGCGATGGCCACGGCGATGGCTATCTGCTCACTCACATGCCTTCCCTGAGCTTCCTGAGCTCAGCAAAGGGCGATCTATTTTTGATTCCATGAGAGTTGTGGTGCAAATCACACCATATTAAGCGGGTCTCATTAATAATTGAACACTTGCATGGTTTTAAAATCTCTCCTGCCTCCTCTCAGCCCTTGCTGGAATCGTGGGTCTCAGCCTGCCCCTGCCAGGAAATCACTGCCGGCACGCGGCTGCGCTAATCAGGACCAGAGAGGAGGTGGATCTGAGGAAATGATGGGGCCGAGAGAACAGGCCCGTCCCCCGGGGCCTGATTGCGCGGCTCTGTGAGGGCAGAGCACTTTAATGGGAGCTGCTGCACTGATGTCTGCAGCCTGGTTTCCACAGCTCCTGCCGGCCTGAGCCAGGGGAGGAGCTGACCCTGGGTGGTCGGTGCTACTTGAAGGCAGCAGCTTCCCGGCCGCCTTTGAAAAATGTCATTTTGGGACCAGCGGGTCTGGAGTCTAGCCCTGAAGAGGTTCCCATTCCGGCACTTACCTTTTTGATGATTTCTTCCAGAGAAAATTTTAGATGATACTTATGTCCCTTTCCTGGAATGTCCTAAAAGTGAGAAAAGTGTGTGTGGTGTGAGCCGTTAGGATGATGACTCTCTGCACGGCTAGGAAATTGGGGCTGGGGGGCTGGAGCAGCTGGAGCAAACCTCCCCCGCCCCTGTGCTGCCTCAGGACCCTCTGCAGGGCCGAGTGCCCCGCCCGGCCCGCCCAGCCCTGGCTGCCCAGCCGAGGCTGTGGCACCTGCCCCCCCCCCCCCCCCCACACACACACACTTCGGCCTGCCCACACCCACCAGCCACACTGCCAGGGTGCCCTGCAGGGCAGGGGCAGCGGGAGCGGCCGCCTCCCTCGGGGCCCATTGAGCAGATGGCGGGGAAATACGGCCGCCGTCCTGAGAGACACTCAGAGGCGTCCACTCCCGCGGGAAGGGAAGGGAGGGCTGCTGCCCGCTCACCTCCAGGCTGGCCCGCTCCACGGCGCCCACCAGGAACACCTGGTGCGGGGTGCCCTGCTGGTAGTTGATGCAGTTCTCGACCACGGAGGCGGCCCGCGAGGCAGGCGCATGGGTCGGCGGGATCTCCATGGGCCTGGACGCTGGTCCTGCTCCTTCCTGCAGCAAAGTGCGGCGGGCTGGCCCGGCAGGCGGGCGGGGCGGGGCGGCTCCTCCTCCCGCCTCCCTCCCTCGCTCCCCGCCTCCCTCCTTTCCCCACCCCCGCGCCTCCTTCCTCCCTCCCTCTCCCTCCTCCTTCCTTCCTCACCCCTCCAGTAACGCCCACCAGGCGCCCCCCTTCCGTGCAGCCAGGGGGTCAGGGTGGGGGTCAGCAGTGGGGGGGTCTCGTGCTTCCACTTCTGCCCCCACAGCTGCCGGCTGGGGCTTCCTGGCCAGCAAGGGGCTGGGCCACTGCCCTGCCACTGTGTTGCCCGCAAGGGCCTCTGGCTGGGAGGGAGCCGCGGGGAGCCGGGCAGGGCGGGGCTGGGAGGAAGCTGCTGCGTCCTGCACCCCTCCAGTCCCCCGGTGAGCCCCAGTGAAAGAGACCCTGGGACAGACCCGAAAGCAGAACTCACGGAGCACTGGGAGCAGCTTCGGGGGGAGGGGCAGGGGGTTGGCCTGCTGCTCCCTGCTGCGCTTCCCAGAGAGGAGCAGGAGGGTCGCCCTTGGCGCACCAGGGCCCTGAGGGAGATTCTCCTCCAGGCTTTTCCCAAGAGCTTGGTTTCCTTTGGGGCTGTGGTTTGGGGGGCCACACCTGGCAGTTCCTGGGGTCTCTCTAGGCTCCCAGGGCGGGGCTGGGACACCTGGCGTCTTTCTGGAAAGGCGAAGGTGCTTTGGGGACGTGCCGCAGGCTGAGTCCCGGGGAGCCGCTGGAAGCGGTGTGTGAGCGGCTTGTCTCTGTCCGCCTGAGGCTGGCAGCAGGGGGGATGTGGGGGGTCCTTTCAGAGCCCCCCTCCTGCCATTAGCGCCCACCCCCCGTCTCGGCCGCTCCCAGAACCTCCTCGAGGTCTTTGCTGGAGGAAAAAGTTTCTTGGACAGGAGCCAGAATCCCTGATTCTTGAGCCTGAGGAGTGTGCGGGCCCCCTTGTGGGTCTCGGGCCAGGCGGGTCGCCTGTGTCATACATATCAGGTGTGAACATCACCCGGCCCATGGCCTGCTGTGCCCAGAGAGTCAGAGCCCTGAAGGACACCCTGGGCTGCTCTCAGCTCCGCACCTGGCCGCCGAGACCTTTCACCTTCCTGCCCCTCCCTGGCGGCCCCGCCCTGCGCTCCACCTGGCCTCGCCTTGGGCACTGGCCATGCCCATCCCCTTCTGTTCTCGCGGGAGCCTCTGGGGAAATGGCAGCTTGGCAGGGACCGCGCGGCCTGTGCTGCGCCCACTCGTCTGTGGCGTGGTGCCTGCCGCTCGCTCCCTGCGGGCGGCCCTGCCGGAGCTGTCTCCCCCAGGACCCGCCTCTGCGTCGCCAGCCCCGTCCCTGGGGACGCAGGACCGTGGGAGATGGTGCAGGCTGTCTGGGAGGGCTGCCACACGTCCCATTCTGGAACTTTCCTCCCGTCACTGGGTGTGATGTTTGCTCTTGGCGCAGCAGCTGGGCTTTCCCGGGCAGGCTGCACGGCGGTGACCCCTCGCCCCTGAGAGTCCCAGAGCAGCGGCCGCGTCTGGGGCTCCGCCTGTCCCTGTCACTTGTCCTGGTGCAGCTTCAGTGCTGGGAGACACTTGGGACCAGCTCAGCCATGGGCCACCCGGGGAGGGGGCGTCCCGGCGCCCAGGGCACCGCCGTGGTCATCTCTGCGTGGAAACTGACCTCTCTGGAGCTTCCCTCCGTGAGGGTGTCGGCAGCGTCCAGGGAATGTCAGAGAGAGTCCAGGGGGGGCGCGCAGGGGCCCTGGGTGAGTGACTTGCGTCTGCCCTGAGAGGACCCCGTTTGATGTGCGTGTCCCGTGCCTGCTAATCTTCTATTCCTGCCTCACTTGCAGGTTTGAATTCACGCATAAAAAGCAGTCGGGGGGTGCCGGCCAGTTTGGGAGAGTGATCGGGGTCCTGGAGCCCCTGGACCCGGAGAACTACACAAAGCTGGAGTTTTCCGATGAGACATTCGGAGCCAACGTGCCCAAGCAGTTTGTGCCCGCTGTGGAGAAGGTAAAAGCGGCGCAGACAACGTTCCTTGCATTTTAAATTTGTCAGTGTGTTTCAGAGTGTTTTGTGCTGACTCCTTGCTCTGTGCTCTGTGATCACGACTCCTGGCAGTGCTCAGGGAACCCTGCGGGGTGCTGGGGATCAAGCCCAGGTTGACCGTGTGCACTGAGAGCAAATGCCTTGCCGTTGTGCAGTCTCTCGGCCTCGGTTAACCCTTAGGTAGTTCCCAGGCCGTGTCTGGGGGCCCGTCGGAGAGACGGCGGCTCTGTGTGGGCAGCTTCCATCTGATCCAGCCTTCACGGCACCCACTGACACGGGCAGATGCTTCATGCAGGTGTCGGGGTCTCACACCCGGCAGCGCCTTGGGTTTGGGTGCAGGTGGGGTCCCCATTTGGGGGAGTGAGGACCACCCATCGCAGCCACTGCCCGGGCCGGAGCAGAGCCCGGAGGTCCCTCCCAGACTTGGCCCCTGGAGTGCAGGCTTCTGGTGCAGCAGAAATGGTTGTGTTTTGGGTAGTGGAAATCTTCAGGAGAGATGAGCAGCGCGAGGGTGCTCGCCTTGTCTGCTGCTGGCTCGGTGTGGCCCCCGGCATCCGTATGTCAGGAGAGACCCTCAGCACAGAGCCACGAGTAGCTCCCGATCCCGCTGGTGTGACCCCGACCAGAGTAAACTTGAATTTCCAGGGCCCCCCTCTCAGAGAGCAGAGGCTTTCTGTCGGGATCTTGTACTGGATCAGCTTGCAGCAACTCTGGTGATTGTCTGTACCCGGTTCTCTGCTTCACTGCGCTTCACACACCCAGCAGCTAGATCCTTCTCGGAGATGCGTCTAGGTGCCCCTTTCAGGTGCCTCGGGTGCCACCCGGGCCCCTGCGTGTGCTCGGCTGTGGGTTGCCTTCGGCAGGGCTCTGCAGAGCCTTCCAGGGAACCTGGCCGGGACTGGGCCGCTCACCAGCTCCTTTGGATTTGGAGGCGGGAGAAGAGACGGGGCCGGGGGCTGTTCGGGCTTCCTGGATTCCGTGTGTGGGAAGCCCCTCTGCAGAGACCCTCCTTCCCCAGGGCTTCCTGGACGCCTGCGAGAAGGGCCCGCTGTCCGGGCACAAGCTCTCGGGGCTGCGCTTCGTGCTGCAGGACGGGGCGCACCACATGGTCGACTCCAATGAGATCTCCTTCATCCGGGCTGGAGAAGGCGCCCTCAAGCAAGGTGGGCGGGGCCGGGGCTGGGGCCGGGGCCTCTGCAGGGGCGGGGCCTGCATCTGTGGGCGGGACCTACCCACAAGGGCGGGGCCTGTGCCCCTTGGGTGGGGCCACCTGCAGGGGCGGGGCCTGTGCCCCTGGGTGGGGTCTCCCCATAGGGGCGGGGCCTGCATCTGTGAGTGGGGTCCGCCTGCAGAGGCGGGGCCTGTGTCTGTGGGTAGGGCCCACGTGCAGGGGCGGGGCCTGCGTCCATGGGTGGGGCCCACCTGCAGGGGCGGGATCTACTCCAGAGCTGGGGTAGCCACCAGACCAGGTGAGGGGGGCCCTACGTTCCCTTCCTTTGTCATAAATGCCGTGGTATATTTTTCTAACGTTAAAATTCTTAGGTAATCTGTAAGTTACGATTTTAGTAAAGAAGACAAATGTTCAGCATTTTAAGAAATATACTAAAGAAAAATCACATTTGCACTGTTTTTAGTGACTCAGATGTCAGGAAATCCATAAATTTGTAAGTTGGTTTGGGCGGCATTTTGATGATGGCTGTGTATTTTGAGAGACTTTATTTTTTAATCGAAAGAATTGTTTCAGGAGGTGTTTGGGCCCTAGGCTGCAGGTACTCGGGGGTTGCTCCTGGCCTGTGTCTCTGCCCCGTGTCTTGGGGGACCGTACAGACCCTCTCCCCGCACAGGGGGCCACAGGCGTCCTTGGTGATGAAGTGTGACGGCTCCCCGCGCTGGGGGCTGGACCCTGCCCAGATGTGGCCTGTGGTGCTGTTTTAGGAGAGAGCACAGTGCGGCGGCAGCAGGGGCGGTACCCAGCAGTGCTCTGGGGCTGGGGTCTGCCGTGCGGGGCTCTACCCAGCAGTGCTCTGGAACGTGCCATGCCGGGCGTTTCCCACGCATGGCTGTGCTCTGCCTCTGAATGATCCCCACCCTGGTCAGTCTGTAAAAGCCGTCTGAGCCGACCCACAGCAGTCTCTGTGAATGCTGCTGCCCCATGGGCGGGGTGGGGGGGCTGTAGCCTCAGGCACCCAGTGCGGCTCTGCCTGAGACTGCTCAGAGTCTGACCTCGGGGTCATCACCAGGAGACTTCAAAGGTGTGGCCTGTAGCCAGAGAGGTCACTCTCTGGCCGCGGGTGAAGTGGGGATGGGAGTGTTGGGCAGGGACCTTGGTGACTCACAGCTCACAGGAGCCTCTTCCTCTAAGCACCAGATGGCCGGAGGGAAGTGACCTCAGTCACAGTGCCAGTTTCCGTTCCTGCTGTCCCTCGGGGCTGTGGTCTGGTCCTGCGCTGGCTCCTGCACGGCTGGCCAGAGGCCCCAGCCAGTGCCTGCAGGCCCTGCACAGTGGGCCCAGGCCCACTCCAGGCTGATGCTTCTCGACGGCAAATGCCGTGTGGGCCTGTGCCCAGGACAGGGGGAGTGGATGTGGACAGTGCCAAGGAGATAGGGAGTGGACGGTGCTGAGGAGACTGGGGGTGGACAGAGGAGGCTGGGAGTGCGGTGCTTCACTGCACGCCCCGTGTCACCAAGCATCTGTCACAAAGTGACAGTAGTCTCTTTTGTGCTTTGTTTCATCTTATTCAACATAATTGACAAAATTAGAAGATTTTTCACTACTTTCATTGTGACGCTTTTTTTTTTCTTTTTTTTTTTTTTTTTTTTTGTGTTTTGGGTCACACCTGACGATACACAGGGGTTCCTCCTGGCTCTGCACTCAGGAGTTACTCCTGGCAGTGCCCAGGGGACCATATGGGATGCTGGGAATCGAACCCGGCTCTGCCGCATGCAAGGCGAACGCCCTACCCGCTGTGCTATCGCTCCAGCCCCCGATGCTTTCTTAAAGACACTTGAAGTTCAAAAGTCACTGAATCTGGGCCGGAGTGATAGTCCTGCAGGAAAGGCACTCGTCTTGCCTGTGGCCGACCCGGGTTCAACCCCCACATCCCATGGGGCCCCCAACCCCCACCAGGAACGACCCCTGAGCGTAGCGAGGGTAGCGCAGCAGCAGACGTTCACCAGGGTAGCGAGTGTGGTGGCTGAGCAGTGTGGGCCAGTGGGGTTGTCACCTGATTCTGGGTGTTTGCCAGAGAACGGGCACCTGCCGCCCCCGCATGAAGGGGTTGAGTCTGCCCTTCCGGCTTCTCACCTGTCCCCGAGCAGAAGACCAGTTCATCTGTCAGGGGGTGAGAGCAAGCATGTGTGACGAATGAGCTTTCACCATCGCCTCTGGCCGGGCTGCCGGGCTGTTGTAGGGTGAGAAAGCTGGGCTGAGCTGGCCACAGAGTGACCGTCCTTGTCAGCTATTTTGTCACACACATTGGGAGAGAGTTCAAGTGCTCGTGAGGTTTTCGTGAAATACACGAGAACGAGCACGTTCCTGACTCCCTCCGGGCAGCAGTGTGAGTCAGACTCGGATGTCTGTCGGATACGTGTGTGCTCCAGTGTCCATCGGACACACGGATGCAGGTGGCCGTGCGTTGGGAGGCTGGACGCGGGCTGCTCTCTCGGCAAGGCTCAACATCGAGTGGACCACATGTGGGCGTGAGCCCCTCTCCCCCCCCCCCCCCCCCCCCCCCGAGCCCTGCCCCGAGCCCTTCTCTGGTCTTGGTAGGCTCTAGAGGGACATTTTCCAAGCGGGGTGTCAGAATGTTAGAGGCATTGCAGAAGCCCCGAGGAATTGGTGCTGGGGGGATCTGCTCTGGGCATGTCCCCCCACCCCCCAGCCTCCCATGGGCTTCGGGAAGGGGAGGGACCCTCCAGGAAAGTCAGGGTTGGCTCCCACCAATCTTTGGTTTTTGTTTCATAGCGTAATGAGGGTTTTTTGTGGTGGTGGTGGGCGGAAGGGGGGTAGGAATACCCGGTGGTGCTGGGGAATCCTCTGGGCTCGGGGGACCATAAGGGTGCCAGTGACGAGAACCAAGTTGGCCCCATACATGGCAAGTGCTTTACCCACTGGACAGTTTGGCTCCAGCCCGTCCATGGTTTCTTAAAGGATGGATGCGCAGTCCCAGGAACTCCAGAATCCAGTTTTCTTTCTAGGTGTTTCTTCCCACTGCCCGAGGAAGCGGGCCAGGTGGGGTATTAGAGCCCCCCTCTGCTGGGGGCCTCCCTGATTCACTGTCCTGTCTCCTGCCCCAGCCCTGGCAAACGCCACCGTGTGCATCCTGGAGCCGATCATGTCCGTGGAGGTCGTGGCCCCAAATGAGTTCCAGGGGCCCGTGATCGCGGGGCTCAACCGGCGCCACGGGGTGATCACAGGCCAGGATGGCGTGGAAGACTACTTTACGATCTACGCAGAGGTGTGGCGGGCGGGATGGGGAGGGGAGCGGCAGTCGTGGTGGCTGCTGGGACGGCCTGGGAGGTCCCGGGCCTGGCCTGGTCTGGGGGAAAGTGTGTCTCAGGAGTCAGACGGCGTGCCCGTTGCATGTCCCGAAGCGTTAACTGCCTGACAGTCTGGGCCATGGCTGGGGGTGGGCTTGAGGCAGGGGCCCATGTGGGAGGGAGGGAGGAAGCTGCCTCCCCCGTAGCTGCCCGTGGTTTCCCCCTTGCGGTGAAGCGAGGGTCGGCGGCTGGCGGCCAGGCCTGGGTGCCTCTGGTCTGCCCGTGACGCGCTTCCTCTGCAGGTCCCGCTCAACGACATGTTTGGTTACTCCACGGAACTGCGCTCATGCACGGAGGTAAGGCGCTCGGTCTGCCTGTGGGACAAAGTGGCGGTGCGGGGAGCAGACAGACAGAACTCTGTTCCCCCAGGGGAAGGGCGAGTATACCATGGAGTACTGCCGGTACCAGCCGTGCGCCCCAGCCACCCAGGAAGACCTGGTCAGCAGGCATCTGGAAGCCACGGGCCAGCTCCCTGCCAAGAAGGGCAAGGCCAAGAACTGAGCCGGGCGTCGTGGCTGGGCAGCCTGGCCCCGCGGGCAGCGAAGACACCGTCCTGTGCTGAGGAGGCGGTATTTATTGCTACGACTGTGTCTCTCATCTGTATCAATGGATTTTGTAGAGACTTGGGAAACGCAGATGCAGTTACTGTCCTCAGGAAACCTAGATGCAGTTACTGTCCTCGGGAAACCTACATGTACTTACTGCCGAGATAGATCTAATGTTGAAGAAAGAGGCAAGTGGCTTCCATGGGAGGTTGGCGCTGCCTTTCTGATGGTGCCCGTGAAGAGGGCGGGTCGGCCACAGCCCTCCTGGTTCCATCCGCCTGCCTCACTCCTCAGTGCTCGGCTTTCTGGGGACGGTTGTGAGCTCGGACTTGGCTGGACGGGAAGTGCCCAGCGCACTCATGCTTTCGGGAGCTCCTGGGTCCCCTTGGGGCTGAGCTGGGTGCAGGACAGGCCCCTTGGGAGCACTTCCTGTCTCTGCCCACCCTGGTCTTGGTGAATAATAAAGGACAGACCTGGAGTTGCCGCCTGCCCGCCTGCTGGATCTGAGCCTTGGCGCGTATTTGCTGGGACCGTGAGGCCAACTGTGCGGTGCTCTGGGCTGAGCTGGATTCCCCAGCCTGCTCCTGTGCCCGGAAGTTGCCCCTGAAGGTCGGCTCGGCTCTGGGGGCCTGGCTGTGCGGGGGGGGGGGGGGGGGGGGGGGGCTGGAGGGGGGTTCCCTCCATGTACTCAGCAGGACCTGGCCCTGTGACAAGAGGCGCAGGCTGCCCTGTGGTGCTCAGGAGGGACCCCTGGTGGTGCTGGGGGGCACGACGTGCGCTTCGGTGTCTGTTTCTCCAAGTGCTGCCTGGGGAAAGGGCTAAAGGCTTCAGGGGCGAGTGTTGAGGGGGCCCTGGCATGTTTCCCGGTGAGCGCTCACGGCCCAGTGTTCGTGCTCCTGCCCTGTGGCGCCTGTGCACGCCTTGGCCCCGTCGGCCTGGCTGCATGTGTGTCAGCCTGCTCTGGTGCTCGGCTCAGTCAGGTTTTTTGCTTGAACTCAGCAGATGTGACGAGTTCGGTTCTGGTTCCGCGCATTTTTACTCCATGAGCAATTCTCCACTGACTCATTTAGAAACACGAAATTTATTGGAAAGTACTGTCCGGGGACACAGGCCCCCGGACTCACTTTCGTGGGACTACACCGGCTTTCCTAGGGGCCCCAGGGTCCAGGGTAGCTGATCCAGCTGCACACGAGCAGGGGCGAGACGGCCATGTCGTCCTGTCCACACCACCCGGGCAGCCACTGAGTCTCGGCGGGTCAGCACATGTGCCCCCGGGGTGAAGTGACCCAGGGCCATGGAGAGAGTATCTCAGCCTCTCCCTGGTTCTGGTGTCGGCTTTCCCCGGGGATCAGGGGCCTGGTTCTGGGGCACGTGGTGGGGCGGGGGGAACCAGCCACCAGCACCTGGCCCTCCTCTTCTTCAGAAGTCACCGTGCTCTCCAGCCCCGGATACCTCCTGGGGCATCTGCAGCTCCCAGCAGTGGTACTTCACCTTCGGGGGCCTGCCGGGGGACCAGGCCAGGCGGACATGGCAGGGAAACATCTCCTAGGAGGGAGACTTGGTGTCCCCATGCGCCGCTTGGCCTCAGGAAGGGCGAAGTGGTGGGAGGGCGGTGTGGGCGCAGCCGCACTTACCTGGGTCGTGAACTCGTGGAGCAGAACAGTGTAGTCAAAGTGGATCGAGTCCCTGCTTGTTTTCTAGGGGACAGAAACAGTGTCCAGCCTTGGCTTCTGATCCTGGAGCCTGGGTCTGGGCCACGCCCTGCGGTGTGGTGCCCCGGCGGCCGAGAATGTGCTCCCACACCCTGCAGTGAGGTGCTCCTGGGGCTGAGCCTGGACCTGCCTGCCCACACCGGCCCTCTCAGATGCCCTGTCCCCCCCGCCTTCTGCCCGCAACTTTCTCTGTCCACCCTTGAATGGGGGCGTTTGGTGCCTGTTCAGGACCTGCCGTCTCCTGACCGAAAGCCGCAAGCGACTCCAGGAATGGGGCAGCGAGGAGGGACCTGAGACTCCCCCGCCCGAGCAGGGGGCCAGGCTCACCCATTGCTGCACCCCGATGAGCTGGGCCAGGTTGTAGCGCGCCGCCTGCGTGGTCTTCTTCCACATGACAAAGGAGCTGCCCAAGAGCGCTAGCTCCCACAGCGGCTGCAGCGAGGGGTCCACATACCCGTGGCTGTCTGGGGGAGAGTGCTGGGATCACACCTGCACACCACGCATCCCAGCCCCTCCCCGTCCCCCCAACCCCAGCGTCTGGCCTCGTGTCTGACGGGGAACCCGGGGCTCCCTCCTGCGGCCACCAGGTGTCTGGGCAGGCCTGGGTCTGGGGACCAAGGGGGACAATGGCCAGCGAACCCACTGTGCCAGTCTGGAAGGGACGAAGGGTGCTCCGTGACCAGCACCTGCAGTCTGCCCACTGGGGGTAGGCCTAGGGGGGACTCTGCGGGGGGATGAGCAGGGCAGGGGTGGGTGGTGGCGGGGGTGAAGATTCGTCCTCAGCCCCTGCTGACCCTGGGGCAGGTCTGCCCAGCACTGGGGTTCACTCGGCGCCCCACTGGCTGAGACCGTCCTGGGGCTGGCCTGATGCCCAGGGCAACTCAGCCTCTGGGCATCGGCAGTGCCAGGAAGGTCGCTGGTCTCCCCCTGTGGGCAGCCCGGTATACCGGGACGCCGGCCCATACCGGGGATGGTGGTATTGGCCAGCGGCGGCGTGGGCAGATCCCGCAGGAACGTGAACAGCCTCAGGTCCTCGTGCTCCCGCCGTTCCTGCGCCAGGAGCCGCGCGCACGTCACGTTCACGGCCACCCGTGGCCTGCGGGGCGCGAACCGCACCAGGGCCCGGCACCTCCCGGTCTTCGGCGGCCCCTGCAGGAAACGTGGCGAGTCACCATGGAGCATCCCGGGGACCCCTCCCCCCCACCGCCAGGCCCACTTGCGGGGTCCCGCACTCACCTCCAGACGGAAGCGCTCCGCAGCGAAGGTCACGTCCACCAAGGTGTCCTCATCGCTGACCTGCAGGACAATCGTCAGTGGGGACACTTGACAGGGGCAGCCCCACCTCACCCCTGGACAGTGATTTCTCAGGGACGCACCCGGGTGGGGTGGGGCAGGGGAACGCCCTCCCTCCAGATCCTGGGGGCGGGGGCCTCCAGGGTGAGCTCCCAGGCGGTGCCCCTGGGACAGGTGGCTCCTGGCCCTGTGGTGAGGCCTGGGAGAGGTGCTGCTGCCCCCTCCCCTCCACACACACCTGAGGCCCCGTCCTTCTCTGCCTCAAAAGTTTCCCCCCCAACCTTGGGGCTGGAGTGATAGCACAGCGGGGAAGGCGTTTGCCTTGCATGCAACCAACCCAGGTTCGATTCCCAGCATCCCATATGGTACCCTGAGCAGCGCCAGGAGTTACTGAACAGCGCCGGGTATGACTCAAAAAAAAAAAGTCCCCTCCCCGGCTTGGAACCGAAGGGTGGCCGGTGCACCTCCGCAGCGGGCGGGCCTGCGGGCAGAAGTGTGGGCGAGCTGAGGTCCCTGCGCCGGGCTGCCCGTGCCACCTCCCAGCCCGCCCTCCCCGAGCGCCCCTCGGCCGCCAGAGGGCAGCGTGGCTCTGAGGACCGGCCTGGCCTGCGCCGCTCCCTGGGGTCACTGATGACCGAGCTCCTCTCCAGCCCACCGGGAGCCGCACTCTGCAAAGCCCTGACTTGGCCCCACCTGGCCAGGCCCCTCGACGCCGTCGAAGCCGGGCTCCCCCCGGACCCCCTGATTGCGGAGAGCGCAGGACCGAGTCTGGGAGACCCAACCGGCCCTTGCCAGTGCCCACTGCTGCGGGACACGCGCCCCGGGGGCACCTGTGTTCACCCCGTGACCTCGAGCCGGAGTCTGTGAGTGTGGTGGCAGAGGGGCCGGGCGGAGACCCCCAGCCAGCTCCGCAGACCAGCTCTGGCCCTACTTCGCTCTCCCCGGAGCGCCGCGGAGACCCCATCCCCGGCCCAGACTCCAGCGCCCAGAGACGGGCCCCGGGTGGGGTGAAGGCGGCAGGGACCCAGCTCCCCCGCTGGACTCGACGCCCTTCCCGAAGGCAGTAGGCAGACCAGGGCAGCGCCCGCTCCGCACCACCTGCTCCCGCGCCCCTGCCCGGGACCCAGAGCCCCTGCCCGGTGCCCAGCGCGCCTCTGCCCGCGGCCAGGCGCCCCTCCCGCACCCCTGCCCGCCGGCCCGACACCCCTCCGGGGAGCCAGCGTCCCTCCCTCCGAGACTGCGGACGGCCCTACGGAAGAAGCGGGCTCTCGGGGGAGCGAGGGGTTCCCCCAATGTGCGGGTCCGGGACTCGGTTTCTTCTGCGACAGATGCCGCGAGTTTCACTTCCCAAGGAGGGACCCCAGGCGAGAAAACGCCGAGCAGCGCGCTCGTTTTAAATGATGGATCTCGGAGGGAAAAACGCTCCTGGGGCTTGAAACGGGGGCGCCCGACTCGCCCGCCCAGGTGAGCCCCGCGGGGTGCCCGAGGCCGGCGCCCCCTGCCCGGCTCGCACTCGCCGCGCCCGCCCCTCGGCACCTGCCTGCGCTGACCCGCGCGCACCCCCTGCACCCCGCCCGGCCCCTGCCCGGCCCGCACTCGCCCGCGCCCGGCCCCTGCACCGCGCCGACCCCTGCCCACCCACGCTCACCCGCGCGTCGCCCCCCTGAACCGCGTCGAGCACCCGCAGGCCGCTGGGCGAGCCGCTGCGGAAGTTGAGAAAGTGCAGAGCCGCGCGCGCTGCCCGCTGCAGCAGTGCCGGGAGCTGCGGGTCGGCCGGCGCCCCCGCGGACAGCAGCGGCAGCAGCAGCAGGAGGAGGACGGCCGAGGGGCGCGGGCCCCCGCGCGGGCCGGGCCTGGGGCTGCGGGGCTGCATTGGCGCGGCCGGTGCGGGGGCCCCGCCGGCCGCCCGGGATAAAGGGACCGGCCCCGCCCCCAACATCAAGCCACGCCCTCCCGCGAAGCCACGCCCACCCCGGCGCTGTCGAGTCCTCGGTCCTCACACCCGGCGCATCTCCTGGATGCCCCCCCACACGGCCACGCCCATCCCCACTGCCCTTCTTGAGGTCCCGCCCACACACACCCATCGCCTGTCAGGCTGCCCGAGGCCCCGCCCCCGCTCAGCCTCTCCTATTTTGCATGGACCTGCCCACACCCTCAGGGCCTCGCCGAGCCCAGTCCGCGAATCACCGCCCGGGGCCCCGCCCACAGCACGTCAGCCCCGCCCACAGCCCGTCGGCCCCGCCCACAGCCCCGCCCAGCCGAGACGCACGTGGCGGCCCCGGATCGGTGCCGGGGACAGGCGCGGCGCGAGGTCCCGTGGCGGCTGCTCTGGACTAACCCTGGGATCTGTCCCTCGCGGGGGTCGATGGCCTTTTCCGAGGGACTAGGGCACTGACGGATGTCCCCACGTCATGGTACGGTAACGGTAGATGTGAAGCGGCAGGAGGCAGGGCCGGGGGCGTGGGGGGCTGGAGCTCCTGGAGGGCCGACCCCGCTCCGAGCGTCCCAGAAGGGGCCCACGTGGAGGGCGGGCCGGGTGTGACAGCCGAGCACCCGGACCGCTTTGTCCAGACCCCTGCGTTGGCCATTTATTTCCGTTCTCTCTGCTTTGCGGTGCTGGGAATCGAACCTGGTCCCCGGCACAGAGGGGAGCAGTGGGCGAAGGCCGGCAGCACGGGCTGCCCTTGGCCAGGCGAGCTCTGCGGGGGAGAGGCGGGAAGGGTTCCCGGGAGCAGGCGGGGAGGGGCTGGGCAGCAGGCACAGGCGCCAGCTGAGTCATGGGGACGCCTGTGCCGTCCTCCTTCTCGTGCTGTGGCCTGGCCCACCGTTCCCCACTCCCCTGCTGAGGCAGGTTCCTGGGAGCCCTTCCTTCTGGCCCTTCCTTCACTCCAGCACCGGGGAAGGAGCAGGTGGGCTGCTCTCTCCTGAGCTGTGTCTGCGCGGCTCCTTCAGACAGACAGACTGATAGACAGACGTCCTATTAGCAGGCGCTTGGCCAGGTGCCCTCCTGCAGACCCACACTGCCCCTTCCTGCCCCTTCCTGCCCCTTCCTGCCCCCCGGGGTGTCAGGCCAGCCTGGCAGTTCTGAGCAGCGGCTGCCTCCCCCCTGGATGGCTGAGTGGAAACAGCCTTGCGGGGCACGGGGCAGGGCCCCGGAGGCCGAGCTGGGCTGTGCGTGGACAGAACCCATGGTCATGCCCCATCAGCACCTGCATCCTGGGGGCTCAGGAGTCACATCACAGGAGAGACCCCACTGCCCCTCCCCCTGACCCTCACACTCTGCTCATTGGGCATTTGGGATGTGTATGGAGGGTCTTAGCCCTGACCTAACTGCACTGTGCAAGAAAACTGGCTAGGTGGGGGTGGGGAGCACAGAGGAAAGGCAGAAAGAAGCCAGAGACTCCCCCCCCCCCAAGAAAACAGGCTTCCCTGGACTTGACTTCCCTCCCTTCCCCTTCTCCCCCTCTTCCTTTCCCCTCCTGCTGCCCCTCTTCCACTCCTCCCTCCCTCCCTCCCCCGCAGTGGGGAAGCAGGACATTCCTTCCTGGGCTACTGGAAGCTGATTATCCGCCCTGTCTTGGGGTGTGACCGAGAGAATCTTATCTGGGCCGAAATCTTATCTTTCCAAAATCTTATCTTTCCTGGGACCAAACCCAGGACCTCCCAAGTGTCATGCCCGGGCGCCTTCTGGAGCCCCAGCCTGGCCCTCCCGTACCCTCCATCCCAACCCCTCTGGGGAAGCGTGTCGCTACTCCAGGGAAGATGAGGCCACCCCAGCGGGCGCCGCCACTGGGGCACCCACGCCTCAGCTGCTGAACCTGAAGGTCAGAATGGAGGGCGCGGGCGCTGGACACAGCATCGGCCTGGCGGGGTCCCTGCACTCTGGAGTGTGGGCAGAGGGTGCAGCGGGAACTGGGAGCCTGGACGTCTCACAAGGGAAGACGCCCACCCACTGGAACTTCCCAGTGGAATATTCTGGATCTGCACCAGACCTGGGGCCATCAGCAGCTGCATGAAGTTGCCGAAGCTTGAATTTCAGGTTTGGGCAGCTGCGGGGCTGAGCTTCCATGCCCTCCCCGCGTGGATGCCCCGGCTGCAGGGGGTCCCCGCAGGGAGCATTGGGGGCTCCCCCCTCCGCCTGGAGGAGCACGTCCATCTCCCCCACTGAGGGGAGCGAGGGGGCACACGGGCAGAGAAGGGGCCTTCCTGGGCCCCCGCGCCTTCCCCAACCGAGACCAGGGGTGCAGGTCTCACCCCTTCTACCCCCAGGCTGAGGCAGGGCTGGAAGCTGGATGTGGTGAGGGGCCAGGCGCTGTCCCCTCCCGTGTACCTGCTTCAGTACTTGTATTTTACACTGTTGTCATTCAGGCTGTGTGCTGGGCTAGCCCCGTGAGTGGAGAGCTTCAGGCTTATAGAGTTCCAGCCCATCTCGGCCCCGGTCAGTGCCCGTCCACCAGCGTCCATGGTCCCTCCACTCCCTCACATCCCTGGTCAGTGTCCGTCCACCAGTGTCCATAGTCCCTCGCCCCCACCCCATCTTCTTAGCAAGCATATTTTTAAAAATTAACTCCCTGAAGCCTAAATGATGGTACAGAGGTCAGGGTGCTTGCCGTGCACATGGCCAACCCTGGTTCCGTCCCTGGTACCCCATATGGTCCCCTGTGCCCTGCCAGGATGATCCCTGAGTGCCCCTGGCTGTGGCTCAAATCCAACAGCAACAACAAAGAAATTAACTCCAATTGTGCCCAGGAGTCTCGACCAGTGCTTTTGTGTTACCTGCGGTTTGCCACGTCACCCCCCCCGCACACGAACACACACACACACACACACACACACACACACGCACGCTTCCTTCCTTGGCTTGCTCAGATCTGTGACCGGAACCTCAGGTTTGCCCCGTTTGATCCCTCCGTCCCTTGTCACTGCACCCGGCTGAGCAGCACTGGCAGGTCACACTCAGCAGGACACAGTTCCGGGAGGGGAGAGACGTGGCTGGCCCCGGCTTAGTGGGCTCTTCAGCAGTTTGGGTCTTTTCCCTTCTCTGAGGTATCGGGACCCCCCCCTTATTTCCCTTGGTGCCAGAATCAAACCCAAGGTTTCACCCCGAGGCGACACCCTGCCCGAGGCTTTATCAGGTCAGAAACTTCTTTTTTCCTGATACTCTCCCAGAGTTGCTTCTGGTTTTGCTCCTTGTGCTTTTTCTCAGTCGATCTTGTGCTTACAACCTGCTGGAACATCATATTGGTGATCGTGTTTTCTTTTGAAAAATAAAAATCTCTTGGGCTTTGTCCATTGTGGGGGGCAAAATTCTCAGAAGGGCCGCTGGATTTGCGCCCGACTGCGGACACATCCCTGCGCGTGGGCAGAGCCTGTTGGAGCAGGAGATAGTTGCTTAGTTAGTAGCAGGAGATAGTTGCTTAGTTAGTTGGGGGCGTTTCGCACCCGCCCTCTGATTCGGATATTCGGGATGCCACAGGTGTTCCAAGAGCCACTCTGAGATTCGTTTCATCAAGACTGTCGGCCCACGGGAGCACAGTGCGGGCATTCTGATACAGGAGCTGCCCACGGATGACGGCGTGGACTGATGTGGCCCCAGGAGTTGATTACTGCCCCGGCCAGGGAGAGAAGAGGCCCCCGTGCTGGTGGCCCTGCCCTGCCCTGAGCTCCTGCTGTGCGGCGAGCCAGGTTGGAGAGGCAGCGTGTGGTGGCGCTTGTTAGTAGCAACGGAAAAACAAACACCCCCTCGGTGGCCCCCGACTACGGCCCATGGCTCCCTCCCCACCCTGCCGCGGCTCCTCGTAACCTCTGGTCGAGCTGACGAAACCCTTGGGTTCAACAGAAGGCAGTTTCCAGAAATGTTTTCTTCATCTTTGTTTGTTTCTGGGCCATATCTAGTGATTCTCGGGGTTTCCCCTGGCTCTGCACTCAGGGGCCACTTCTGGTGGGTGCTTGGGGCCCCTATGTGGTACCAGCACGAGGCTGCTGTGTGCAAGGCGAACACCCTTCCCTTTGTACTATCTCTCTGGACCCAGTAGGCTTTTGGGGTCACACCCAGCGATGTTCAGGGATTCCTCCTGGCTCTGCACTCAGGAATTAATCCTGGTGGTGCTCAGGGGACCGTATGGGATGCTGGGAATCGAACCCGGGTTGGCCGCGTGCAAGGCAAACGCCCTCCCCACTGTACTATCTCTCCAGCCCCCCCTTTTTTTCAAGCTGTGAGGTTCTATCTAATATGTATGTGTTGGGGGGCTGGAGCAATAGCACAGCGGGTAGGGCATGTGCCTTGCATGCGGCCGACCCGGGTTCGATTCCCATCATCTCATATGGTCCCCTGAGCACCGCCAGGGATAATTCCTGAGTGCAGAGCCAGGAGTAATCCCTGTGCATCACTGGGTGTGACCCAAAAATAAAAAAATAATAAAATGTACGTGAAGTGCTGTGCCCATCTGGCACGAGTTCATGAGCATTTCCATCCTTCTTGTCTAGAGTTTATTTTAACCATGAATGAGCTCTGAAGTTATTATATGAGTTTTCTAGACCTGAGTAATTGTGTTTACGTTATTTTTCCTGTTCTTGTTTTGGGGCAGCGCCAACGCCCAGCACTGCCTGGGGCTTCCTCCGTCAGGGATCACCGTCAGGGATCACCTGGCACTGGGCGGACAAGCGTGGGCGTAGAGGTGGGGGGGGCTAAACCCTCCCGTGGCACCCGGCCTCTGCCCTGTCTGCAGTGTTTCCATCTCCCCTGTGCCGGGGACAGAGCCGAGGCCCCTGTCAGGTGAGTGCCCTACCTGTGCCACCTCCCCGATGGTCCTTAAAAGCTTTTGAACGTGCTCAGTAGGTTCCAACACTAAGGATTTTTCTGAACTTACATCA